TTGGTGATGGGAAACCCGTGGGGATTACAATTGAGATGAAAAAAAAATGTGCAAAATGATGTAAAAATAAACTTTTTAATAAAAAAAAAATAGCATCCTGATATAAGTGTTCCTGTTAAATAAGCTGCTTTTCTCCATTTGGTGATTAAAAGATCCAAGTTCCTTCAAAAAAAAAAAAAAGATACTTGGATACTTGCCTCCCCAGAACCAGCTCAGGGCAGAGGCACTTACAATGGGCTCTCTTAGCCTGGCAAGAAGAGCTAAGAGCTCCCAGCACAAGAAGGCCAGCAGCCTCTGAGTCTTCAAAAATGGGACTTTAGTTTTCTCTCACTGGAGAATGAACCAGTCAGCAGCTCAGTCCCTCTCTGATAAAGCAGTTAACCTCCATTTCTGCCTTGGGGGAATATTCCCAACTGGGTAGGCTTGGGCTGGTCATTAGGCATATTTCCCCCCAGATGTCTTTGCCTACAACCTGCTCTCCCAGCCTTGGCCCTGTTCCAGACCCCTGGCTAAGCTTAAGTGCTCCCCACTTCCTTGCACTGTGGGCAACCTGCCAGGAGGCCCTGGGCAGCTGGCCCCCAGGCCTTGAAGCCAGGGAGGGCCTGGAACTATCCAAAGAAACACATGACATCAGGTTGGGGAGAGCCCACATCCCAGATACCCTCTGAGACGATAGCTACAAATAGGCATCATTTTGTTCCCATTTGACCTGTTCCTTCCTGAGGGGGTGCCTGGCTTCTCCAGCAGCCGGTTGTCCCAGGACCTCTAATTGGAGAGGTCGGCACATGTGTCCATGGCCTCACCTGGCTAGAGAAGTCTCAGGGCCCACCTTCCAGCAAGATGTCCCCTCTGGGTAGGCTACAGCTTGCCATTAAGCACATGCCTACCCCCAAGAGTTGCTTTTGGAGACCTTGCCTCTTGGACCCTTGAAGTGTCTGAGCCTGGCAAACTGGAAAACTAGCCACACAGGTGCTTATTAGGCACTCATCAGCAGGCCTGCAGCAACTGGGTCTCCCAAACTCCCCCCCCCCCACTGCCGCCGCCTACCCACCACCCCAAGAATGAAGCACCAAGGCGGGTCCCAGCTTCCCAGGTGGCCAGAGCCCACCCCAGCCATCCCAGGAACATCACAGAGGCGGCTAAACACTGCCAATGTGGCTGGGCTGCTGCTGAGTCCCAGAGGCTTGCTGAGACACCAAGACTCCCCGGTGTCCCTACCCCTCCCTAGGATGATACCCCTGGCAGCAGGCGGCCCCTCACCTGGCAATGCAGCAGAGTAGCTCAGCCTTCAAGAAGAATGACGCACTTGTGTAGAACATTGCTGGTCAAGCACATGGCCTGTCTCCCTTCGGCTGACCCAACCAGGCCCTAAGAAGGCATCGTATCCGTGTCTGCTGCGCATGCTCGCGCCTAGCCTTCTGGCTAAGGCCAAAGGGGAAAAGTTCAAAGCACACGAGAGGCAGGACCAAAGGCACGGGCGTGGGGAAGGGAGCAGTGGGAAGACCGCTGCCGGATTCGTAGCCCTAGCTAACCTAATGGTGGTTGTTTCCTGAAGACAGGACTGGGCTTAGAAAGTGTTGCTAGGGCAGCTGGGATGGGTGAGGGATCCTCATCTAAGAGACCCATGGGAGCCTCGGCCACTCTGAGCCCTGGGCTGTGCAACAGACGAGAGAGCTAGCTGCACTTCCACGTAGCAAGTTGAACTAGGGGACTAGGGGCCCGCTAGTTGGGACCCAGGTAGAGTGGGCCCAGGGCTCTTGGGGCCCCTTGACTTTGCCCAGTGTCCCATCTGCACCTGAGAGAGCTCGTAGCTGAATGGATTGGCCGTCTGGACTGGGAGACACCCGCAAGTGCTGGTTGGGGAAGTTTCCTGGGTCCTCAGCAGCAGCACTGCCAAGTGGGGACCAATGCCCCAAATGTCACCACTTGGCAGCGCTGAATCAGTTGGAATTTGGGGTGGCCCCAAAACCATTTCAGTTTGGCGGTGCCATGACCTTGTCTGGTGGTGGACCCAGGGTGCCTTGAGCCTACGACATGATTCCTGCTGCACATGCTCATAGATTGAGCTTCCGGGGAGCCCTTTGCCTAGATGACTTCTGACAGTCTGGGGAGGGGAGGGCGAGTGGGGGGCTGACAAAATGGCTGCCTCTTCCTAACCTTATCCAACTTCATGGCAGTTCTTTGCATAAGGGTGAGCTGGAGGGACCTTGAAAGTGTCAATAGGGAGGGCCTGGCTGGGGTCCTTCCCTAAAAGACTTCCTGGAGGTGCCCCTGCTGGAGAGGCCTTGCCTGCAGGGGCTAGGGCAGAAAGCAAACTGTGTGTGTGCATCCTGCACCCAATCCCAGGGTGCTGCACCTGCTGGCCCTCCCGGGACTTAGTTCCAGGATTTAGACTCTATTTCAACCCTTCCAGGACTAGGCCATTCTTCACAAGCTGTTCTCTAGTTACCTCATTTTTTTTCTTTTAACCACATTGGTACCTCTGTAGCTGGTGATTGACTTCACATATGGCAGCTAGCTTCCCACAGTGAGTTTGAAAAAAAATAAAATAGCAAAACAGTAGTGTATGTGTCTTCGAATAATCTCAGAAGTGGCACATCATCACTTTTAAAGTGTCCTGTGGGGCACAGAGGCCACCTAAGTTCACTGTAGAGTGGGTTGCTGGTTCTGCCTAGGCTGGCTGAGCCCTCAATTCCCCACCCCCTGGACTGCCAGTTTGCCCCTCCCCCACTAGGAGCAGATCATGCCCATGCTGGGCCCCTGATGGCCAGACACTGGCTAGGAGAGAAGGAAAGATGCCTGGGTAGTGGCATGGTCTGAGAGAAGGGCTGCTGGGGAGGGGGCAGAGTTGATGGACATCTGGGGGACTTAGCAGGGAGCAGTGCACTTGGGTTATTGCAGGTAGGACTGTGGGAGAACTGGATCACCCCTTCCAGAAGCCATGGTTCCCTGAGGAACTTTGGTAAGACTCTATCACAGCCATTGATGTCTTAACAAGCAATACTCACAGTTTTAAAAGTTTATACATTTTTTTCTCTCATTTTCTGTAATAATAACCCTTAAGAAACAAACAAACAAACAAAAAATACCTTCCCTGTTTTACCAAAAGAGACCTAGTCTCAGCTCTAGGGACACCTAACACCACCCCCCCACCCCCACCCCCACCCCGGTAAATAGTGGCCTGGAGCCATGAGCTCAGGTCTTACACTAAAAGTTCCAGGCTTTTCTAGTAGATATCAGCTTCCTCAGGCAGCACCATCTCCATTATGCAGCTATGGCTTCCATGTCTGATCATTCCAGTGTTTGAAATTTTGTTGACAAACAAGAAAATCATTTTTTGCAAATACTTTCTTTTCAGCTTAGATGTTTTATTTATTGAGGAGAAATGCAGCCAATTCCCAGTGACTTTGATCTTGTTACAGCATTACTAGTAAAGCTTGTTTATTGCAAAACAAGCCTTAAGTAAACCAAAGAGACTGCTGGCTATTATGTCAAACCTTGAAAGGGAATATATTTAAATTTCATGGTGTCCAAAGTTTCTTCTGAGGACCAGTGCTTCTTTGCTGCTGCCTGGCCCCATGACCAAGTGTTCGGCCTAAAGCTCCCAAGCCTAAGTTCCTTAAGGCATTTATACTACTGACTGCACACACATCAATACTAACAGACCATAAGTGATCAACACAACTTGTATCACCATGGTAGAGTTGAGTTGGGGGGGATCATATATATTTATATAGAGAAAGAATAATCCAGAATCTGATTTTCATTATTGCTTGCAATTCCTGGATGCTGGAGAATAAATCACAAGCAGACTAGGGTCAGATGAGGCTCAGAAGTGCTACCTGTGGTGCTGTTTCCATGGAAATCAGTGGCCTAGGAACAGCGATCCATAGCATCCCTGGAAGAGGCACTCACTGAGGAATCTGGTGGAGCCCTTGTCCTCTGCTCCCTTACTGGAGGCCTCCAACCTCCAGAAGACTCTTCTCAATAGGGGCCCTGGCTGGCTGGGGCCTTGATCCATTCCCTTCTCCTTCCTCATCACTTTCCTGGTATGGAGAGAAATAGGAAACATTTCATTGTAAATTCAGGGCCCTGTAAATCCCCTCTCCCACTCCCAGCATGAGAAGCAACCCTCTCAGGTGTCATTAAGTAACATCTTTTACAAGCCAGCCCTTGACTTTCTAACTTCAAGGTTGTGAGGCAAGTATGAAATGTCACAGGGCGGCACATTCGAAAACTAGTAAGTCAGACCACAGGAACTCAGCGAAATTGTATGTGGGAGGAAAGTACCATGTGGACAAATTCTCTTCCATGTTGACCAAAGTGGGAGCCACCACTCTTCCCGAGCCTGGCCCCCAGCGTCCCATCAGGAGGTACATACCTCATTCTGTGTTCTGTAGTACTGGTTCAGCATATACTGATACTTGGGTTGGTTAAGACCAAAAAAGATAGCAAATCTTTCACCAAGGAAGTCACATACTAGAAGGAAGAACAAGCATTTTGCTAAATTGAGTTCATAAGTAAAGCTTAGAGTTAGCTGAAGTGCCAAGAGTTTAAACATCCTAGAAGTCTCTTCTACTACACTTAACATCAAGGCTGACAAGAGATTTCAGCTGATGTGGGGGCTTCGAAAAATTTGAGGACTCAAGCTTGTTAAATCTCCTATCTTCACATGGGGTCACATGTGAATTCCCTTTTCCAGGTGACTATACCATCAGAGAGCTTCAGATTAGAACAGGTACCACAGGCTGCCTGAGCAGTGGGCGTCAATGCTGCCCACCCATGGATACCAACTGATCTTCAATGTGAGCGTATTTCAAATTATATCAAAAATTTGATCTAGGATTACAGAAATGTGTATCAGAAATTCTTCCAGGCAAACTCCTCCTAAGCAGTTAAAAGCCTGCCTGGTCTGCCTGTAGTTAGAATCACAAGGCACTGGCAGCCTCAGCATAGCAATTCACTAGAGTCAGGGACAAAGATTGAGTTGGCATCATGGATAGTTCATTCCAAGGAAGAGTTGCCTCAAAAAGGATTGATTGTTGTCTTCAAATATTTGAATTTCTGTCCTATAAAAAAGTAACTCAGTTTTTGGTTTTGGAAACAAGTAAGATCCATGGGAAGAATTTTAAAGACAACAAAATATAAGTTTACTAACAAGAAGATGGAAAAGATGGAAGGATCTATCTAAAGATGTGAGTTCTGTGCCTTTAGTAATGAATGTGTCAGCACAAAACTAGAAATGATCAGATCACCACTTCTTTTTTATTTTTTAAGATTTATTTATTTATGCATATAAGAACTGGAATATAGGTCAGAGGTGCAGGGGTGGTGAGAGGATTCACCAGAGACAGATTAGGGAGCAGAACAGGCAGATTCACAAAGTATACTGCTGAGGGAAGCAGTGGAAAGAGAGGTCTGCTGTGCCATGTGGGTCAGCTCCCTGGCTGGTGATGGAATTCATGCTGAAGCAGCTGCAGATGGCTTCATAGTGCTGTGCTTTAACCCAGTGCACCACCAGGGAGGGCCCCGATCACCACTTCTTCAGAACACCATGGAGTATCTAAATTATTGACAATATAACCCTGAAGATTTTTACATCTTAATTAAAGACAAAAACAAATAACCCTAATGGTACTTACTTGCAAATGAGATGCTTGCTATTCGCCTTGCCCAAAACCATAGGTAGGGTCCCCATGAAAGACTGGACTGGAAAAAGAGAGAGAGAAAGCAAGTTAGAGTAATTAATATTAGGAGTGATTAATTAAGAGTGGTTAATTGTGGCCCTCCCTGGTGGTACAACAGGTTAAAGCACAGAACTATGAAGCTCTCTACAACCAGTGCAGCAAAAGTTCGATCCCTGGCTAGGGAGGTGACCCACATGGTGTTGCAGATCTCTCCTGACCTGCCTGCTGCTCCCCTCAGCAGTATATTTCAGTATATCCACCTGTTCTGCTCCCCACTGTCTCTGGAGAAGCCTCTCACCCTACCCTTTCACCCCCTGCACACATATGGCCCCCAGTTCTTCTATACAGAAAAATATATTTTTTTAAATCTTTTAGGAGTGATAATTACAGTCTAGACTTTACAGGTTTCAAAAAGCCTTACAATATATTCCATTTTCTTTATTAGATAAGAAAACTATAATTATCAAGATTTTGAGCTGACTATTCTGGTATCTAAAAGGAGAACAAGGAGTTAGCTGAAAACTGTATCTTCTACAAATCTCCAATGACTTCACCTAACCCCATGTTCATTAGTAGGATATTCGAAGCTTACAGGGTTAAGTGTTAAATTCATTACCTCTTGGTTTTCTTCCTCTTCCTCTGTACTATATTCTTCCATGATATCTCCATCAGCAAAATGGATGATTCTTTTGGGAGTAGTCCTTTTATAAGGTCCACTCATTTCTAGTTCTAACTTCTAGATGCTGTCTTTTTCCAGAAGGAAACAAAACAAATTAAAAACAGATTATCTTAGGGCAAGTTGTCTTGGGTAGTATTTGTATAGTAGAGAAGGATCTAGTTATCTTCAGTGGGTGGTAAAGACAGAATTCCAAGGCAGTCACAGCTGTGATCTCATTACTTCATCACATCCAACAGAGGACTGTTAAGCTCTGTAGCAAAAAGAGGAAGAGATTCAATTATCAGTGGAAATGTGAATTTTCTGTCTGCAAATAAATTATTTCAACAGGATTCTCTCAACCTCTCATTGTAAAACCCAAAACCTCTAGTAGGAAGGGATCATAGCCTTCAATCACTTCAATAAATATTGAGAGGCAGCACAGGTATGGCAAAGATACACACTTTGCAAAGATGGAAAAAGTATTTGTCAAGTAAAGGACTCATTCAGAGTATGAAAAGGACTGTTGCAGTTCAATAGATAGCAAATAGGCAATTTGGTTAAAATATGGATAGATGATTTGAATTTTTTATTGCTATTACCATTACCAAAAAAGATTTACAGCTGTCAAATAAATTGGAAAAGATGCTCAATATCATAATGCAAATACAAACCATATTGAGATATTAAGCTCATGAGAGGCTAAAACTAAAAAGACTAACCATGCATAGTGTTGAAGAGTAAGTGAAGCAACTGGAACTCTCACACACTGCTAGTGCAAATGCACTTTGGAAGATAGTTTGGCGGCTTCCTAAAATGTATACCTACCATATAAATCTTGTCATTACATATTCTTTTCAGTCCTGGGTCCCAATTCCAATGTGAATGGGTGGAGAGCTAAAACTGACTATATATTTGTATATATACCAACCTTATAAAGCTGAGGAGTAAATGAATAAAAATACTGGAAGAGTTACAATTCTTAAGAAAATTTCAGTACTCAACAAAAGTTAACTATTATTAAGTACTCATCATTTCATTAGTAGTGCATGTGGCAGGCACTAATATGGTGTCTTAATTAAAACACTATTTTAAGATTATATCAGCAAACATGGCTGACTGAGCTGATGAGAAAGACTTCTCATTCCTGTTCAAACACAGAATTGCTAGGTAAAATGAAATAAGCAAAACATTAAATTGGCTTGCATTAAAGAAGTAAGTCCCAGAGAAATAGTCAGAGATAGCAGATGGGGGAGGAGGAACTGGGGGAGGGTGTGGGGGAGGGAGGGAAAAAAGAGTGGGGGGAGAAAGATAAGGGAGAGCACCTAGCTATCAGAAAAAGGGAGAAAATGCAAACCCAGAAGGGAAAGCAGAACCTGAGGTGGTTCCTGAGGGAAGAGATAGTTCCTGGGGCTAAACTTTTAGCATTAGTACAGAGATGAAAGGCCCAAACCTCAGATCCAATAGTGTGGTGTGTTGAAATGAAGCTACCTCTACAAAACTAAGATACGGGCCCTCCCTGGTGGCACAGTGAGTTAGGACACAGCACTGCAAGCTAGCTACAGCCGCTTCAGTGCAAGTTCGATCCCCCCAGGAGGTGACCCACATGGCACCGCAGACCTCTCCTGACCTGCCCGCTGCTCCCCTCAGCAGTGTACTTCATCAATCTGCCTATTCTGCTCCCCACTCTGTCTCAAGTGAATCCTCTCAATGCTCTCCGTAACTCTTGCTTGTACCCCAGTTCTGTGTGCATAAATAAATAAATCTTAAAAAAAAAAGAAAAACCTTTAAAAAAAAACTAAGATAAAAAAGTACTACCTGATCTATAAAATATGGATAATACCAGCATGATACAGAATTTTTGATCAGTCTGTATCAGAACGATTCTTTTTTTTTTTTAAGATTTATTTATTTATTCATACAGAACTGGGGTACAGGGCAGAGATGCGGAGGGTGAGAGGATTCACCAGGGACAGAGTGGGGAGCAGAACAGGCAGATCTACAAAGTACACTGCTGAGAGGAGCAGTGGGCGGGTCAGGAGAGGTCTGCCACGCCATGTGGATCTCCTCCGGGGCAGGCAGGGATCGAACTCATGCGGAAGTGGCTTAAGCTTCTTAGTGCAGTGCTTTAACCCGCTGCGCCACCAGGGAGGGCCTCTTTTTTTTTTTTTTTTTTTAAAGTTTATTTTTACATCATTTTGCACATTTTTTTTTCCATCTCGATTGTAATCCCCGCGGGTTTCCCATCACCAAATCACCCCTGTGCCACCACCGTAGTCCCGTGCATTTCCCTCCCTTCCCCCCCCCCCCCCCCCCCCTTCTTGATCCCATTCCCCACTCCGCCCCCACAGAATGTCTCTGGTATATGGTTGTTCATTATTTTTGTTATTTATCAGAACAATTCTTAATGTTCCATGCCATCAATTCAATAAATGACCACAGTCCATAAAATAAAATATGAAGACTTTTTTTAAAGGAATGTCAAAGCAACTTGTGACCTCCTGGCAAAATGGATAGAAATAATCACCCAACAAATGGGTTCAGAACCACAGGCTGGCATGTGGCCCAAATTCAGTGTTTACACATGGTATGAGAACTTGAAGTGAAGCCGAGTGACCTAAAGGCATTGTAACCCTCACAAGCTCTGTCAATTCACTCCCACCCCCCAGGAATATACTAACAAGACTGGACACCCTGAATCTTTACCAAAACCAAGTCCCACTGAGGGTGGGCTCATCCTCCAGGGAGAAAATGGCCACACTGGGAAAGCATCAGCAGATGGGAATATTGGGACAGGCCTCATCCAAGTATTAGGAATAGAGAAGGACAGAACATTTCAAAACCATTATGTTTCATATAGTCCAAGCATTAAAGGACACAAAACATTATGATATCCCAAAGGAACAAGTTGGTTTGAAAGAGAACAGAATAAAAATTCCAGAAATGATATATAATGAACATAGGATAGATTGTGTGGATATTAAATATAGTGAAGAAATCGGAATGTTTCTGATAACACAGGATAGTGAGATATGTATTCCATTAACATGAAAGAAAAATTATTAGATAAAAAGAGCAGATGAGAAAGTTCAAAATTCCAGAAATAAATAGAAAGAATGGAGGAGTTTATATAAAGTTGTAATGGCTATGAACTTTGCATATTTGGGGAAAGACAAAAATCCTCAAATATGAGTAATATAAAGAATACTAAAGAGGGATAAATAAAAATAAAACAAAATCTAACCCATGGTGTCATAAGCTTACAGATGGCACTGAGGTGGTGTGGTTCATTCCTAACACAGAAATCTATAAATTCATCATAGATAAGGCAGATAATCATAAAGGATTATAAGTTGACCGGTGACTGACTTCAAACTAGAAATTAAAAAATTGGAAGACAACTAATTATTGCAAAAAGAGTTCAATGCCCACCTAAACAGTTACAAAGAGTTAAAATAATGCCATTCCAGACCTATAAAAACTGAGAGCTGGGCCCTCCCTGATGGCACAACAGGTTAAAGCACAGCACTAAGAAGCTAAAGCCACTTCAGCATGAGTTCGATCTCCACCCCAGAGGTGATCCACATGGTGTGGCAGACCTCTCCTGGCCCGCCCGCTGCTTCCCTCAGCAGTGTACTTTGTCAGTTGGCCTGTTCTGCTCCCCACTCTGTCTCTGGTGAAGTCTCTCACCACCCCTGGACCTCTGGCCTGTATCCCAGTTCTGTACACATAAATAAATAAATCTTAAAAAAAAAAAAACAAAACAAGCCAAGAGCTAACAATTTCTGCATCTTTACTGAAAGATGAGTAATATCAGATCATATGTCCACAAAAAGGAAACCAAGGCCTCCCTGGTGGCACATAGGATTAAGGTGCAGCACTAATAAGCTATCTGCAGCCACTGTAGCATAAGTTCAATCCCCGGCCAGGGAGGCACATGGCATCGCAAACCTCTTCTGATCCATCCACTGCTCCCCTCAGAAGTGTATGTCAGTCAATCTGCCTGTTCTGCTTCCCGTTCTGTCTTAGGGAATCCTCTCACCCACCCTTCCCACACCTCTGAGCTGTATCCCAGTTCTTATATGCATAAATAAATAAATCCTTTTTAAAAATTAAAAAAAAAAAAAACAGAAAGGAATCCAAACCCAGGGGTAAAAGCAGTATACAGAAAACAAAAACATATACATGAGTGTACAGAGCAGCAAATCTTAATAAACAGGGACTCTGAAAGACACTGGTGGGCACAGTATAGAAACAACACATAAACTATAGACAGCAAGAACATAAATACAAGGAGCCAATCTTTTCATTGTCCTGGAATACATCAGATAGGATAGTGGTTGTATGCATGTTAACAATTTATAGAAGTAACTGGAAAAACAATGGAATTAGAATGTCCAGCTTCAGAACCAGTAGAAGAAATTAAAAGGAAAAAATCAGCCCAACAGAGGGTGGGAAATAGTGGGAAAACAGAAAATGCGTGATTAATGAAACGCTAAATAAGTTATTGGAAATTCTTCTAAATAAAGCAGTAATCATACAGAAGTGAGTCATGTCACATACTTCAAAGTCCAGCAGACTAAATTTTTCAAATATTTATGGAGATGCATGCATGACTGAATGCACCCATGCATGAAGAAACACATGCATGCATCTATGAATAAACCATCAAATCTTATGGGTGCAATAGTAGGTAGATGTCATTGTTGAGAGTTAAATGTGTCATCTGGGGCAAGTAATGTGAAGCCTGCTCAGCCCACAGTCCTCTGAGATTTCCCGCAATGACTTAGTGACCATCTCACAAAAAGGCCTCTGGTAAGAAACAGGGATCATTGTAACCATTCAGCTCTGAAGCCGAATAGCCCCCCAAAATCACCATTGTGATTTTTTAAGACCAACAATATGCTAAACATAATACTCTCCTCAGTGCCAGCAGAAAAGAACCTATTATGCATCAATAAAAAGAAAAGCACTTTCCAAACAAGACTCACCCACATAAGTCCTCTGTTTTCCTGTCAATGCTTTAATTTAGTATGTTTGTTTTTGAAAGTAGAGCAAAATTTGAAGCAAGAAGTTGTTTGGTAGACGAGCGGATCTGTATCCCTGACTCTGACAACCTGGAAGTGTTCTCCTGTATGTGTCTTTCGGGCAGGTCGTGTTTGAGTTGTGGGAAGGTTGGGGTATTTACACAACCAGCATGAAGCCTGTGGACCTTAAACTAGTCTTCACCTTAGAATCACCTGGGGTTCTCTTAGCTCTTCCAAGGCAAGGCCACACCCCAGACTACTAAGGAACAACCCTGGAGACAGTAGCTGCTGAAACATTCCAGGTGGTTCTGATGGAGGATGAGAGCAGAAAAGCTGGAAACGAGGTGCCAGAAGACCAGAAACCTGGCTCACCACAGGCGGGGAGCTGGAAGTGAGAGAAGAAGTGATTAGTACAGCGTTCAGCCAGCTGTAGAAATGACAAGTACCAAGGCCAACTGTAATAGTCAGTATGAGACTGCAGTAGAGTGTCACTAGCACAGACCAGAGGTGGGATAAGAAGGGTGAGGAGGTTGAGGGTCTTGGTAAGAAAACCACTGGTCTTTACAAATCAACCTAGTCACACCTAGAAGTAATTAGCTTAACAAAAGTTAACACCTCCACAAGAGAATGAGCCCCACCCAAAGAGAAGACTACTTTCCTGCAATTTCTGCCCTGGCCAGGGTAGCTGCACTTCTGCCAGCCCTGCCAGGGCAGGTGCTTCTCTTCTCCAGCCTCTTCCTTTTGAAGAGCAGAGCAGTGGCTCCTATCAGCCTGCGACATTGCCCAAGCTGGTACTTCCCTTCTGTGACCTCCTCCCTTTGCTAAATAGCAGGGGCAGCCACCCACTGGGGACAGTACAGGCGCCTTCAGGGGCAGATCTTTCTGCCCCTTTGTGTCCATGCAAGCGTTTTTTTTAGTTTGTTTGTTTGTTGTTTGTTTTTTCCCTTCTCTTTTGTAGTAAACCTGTCCTTTTGGATGTAACTAACTGTGGGCGGGTCAGGAGAGGTTTCATGAAGAAACTCTCTGGAGCAGCTGAAAGGGGAACACTAATGGAACTTTCCCCGGAGTGAACCCAAGAATCCCATTCTCTAAACCCAGCTCCAAAATTGACTTCAGCCTGATGCCCAAGCAGGTTCGGGCACAGGAAGGAAGGGAGGAAAAGATGTGACTTTTAAATGGACAGAGACTTGTTTGTGATTTGGCAAGCTGACATACAGCTAGTGCTCCGACCTCTTGTCTACATTTTTTCCTTCAAGAGAGCTTCTGGATTTTTGCTGGCTTTGTCTTTTCTGCCTGAACTCAAAACCTTTAAAAGTTTAAGAATCATTACGAGTTTTTCTTCTCAAAACCATCTCTCAACTCATACATTTCCAAACCAGAGGGAACATACACACACACACCCCCATCCACCTGTTACCCCCTATTATAGACTACGTTTTGTTCTTCATTATAGCAGTGTGGTACATTAAATTCACATATACATCTTTTTAATTCAGAGGGCTCTTAGGGAGGAGGTGAAGAGAGAAAACGAAGTTTACTTAGTGTTTTTCTGCCACCTAGTGGAATTTTTGGGAAGTGCTCGCCAAGAATAATCTTGGTAATCAGAGAGGTAATGGGGTGGGGCTTAAAACCCGAGTTTGGGGCCCTCCCTGGTGGCGCAGCACTGAGAGGCTGAGTCACTTCCACGTGAGTTCGATCACCGCCTGCCCTGAAGGAGATCCATGTGGCGCGGCATACCTTTCCTGACCCGCCCGCTGCTCCCCTCAGCAGTGTACTTCGTGGATATGCCTGTTCTACATACGCCACTCTCTCTGGTGAATACTCTCACCCTCCGCATCTCTGGCCTGTACCCCAGTTCTGTATAAATAAATAAATAAATCTTAAAAAAAAAAAAAACGAGTTTAGGCCCTCTCTGGTGGCTCAGTAGGTTAAAGCACAGCACTAAGAAGCTAAAGCCACTTCAGTGTGAGCTCCATCCTCGATCTGCCTGTTCTGTTCCCCACTCTGTCTCTGGTGAATCCTTTCACCACCCCTGCACTGCTGGCCTGTACCCCAGTTTTGTATGCATAAATAAATCTTTTTTAATAATAAAACCCCAGTTTGTAATCTATTTTTATTTACAGAAACCATCAAGCATTGACAACTTTACAGCAAGTACCTTGACATGGATGCTTTAACTGTTGAAAGTGACCTTTCCGAGAGCCATCTAGTCCCTAAAACATGCCTTTTATCGCCATTTCTTATGAGCATCTCTACTTTGTTACTTAAAAACCCTGAATCTAAGTTATCATGGAAATCTTTTAAGTATATAATGCGATTAACAGGCCACAGTAGCGTACCCCAGGGGTTGGGCAGCCATTTTAAATATTCTACCAGGCTAAATATTCCCTTGGCACTTTTATGCACAACACTTTGCCCCGGAATCTCAGATTCTTAGATCCAACTGCCTGCTTAATGACTTCTCTTCTTAGCTGATAGAATCTTGGTCTTCACATGTTAAAATCTTCGCTTATACTTTGTGCCCTTGCTCATGTCCCTCCCACCCACACCCGTCACACGCACACCTCCACCCCTTCCTGTATTCCCACTTCAATAACTCCATTCTTCCACTTGCTCAGGCCAAAAACACTGTAGTCCTTTTTTATTCTCCTTTCGTCAGACATCCCATTAAATCCATCAGAAAATTGTCTTCAATATAGCACCCTATTCACTGCCAGCATCCTGATTTAAGCCAAGGTTAAGCTTCTGTGAATAGAACACCCAAAGCCCCACTTCACAGATGAGTATTCACTCTGGGTTCCGAGGCCTGTCACCTGAGGCAACCTGCCACTCCCATCAGTGTTTAGCTGAGTATTGTGTGTGTGTGTGTGTGTCTGTGTCTGGGGGTGGGGGGCAGGCTTGAAGAAAAAGGTGACACAGAAAAGAAAATATTGCTGCTCCTTGAGAATTAACAGACTATCACCTAGCAGGACTTCATGTATTTTCACTACCGAACTGTGTCTCCACCCCCAATCACCATGGCTAAAAGACATTACTGACATTATCTCATATGGAGGTGTTGCCCAATTCCCCACCATGGCAGAGGTAGGAAATTGCCTGAATTTCTGAAGGTGGCCAGTCTGGGAGCTTAAGTGACCAAGGGTCTTGTCCAGTTCGGCTCAGAAAGCCAGGATCTACTAACTGCTTGAGGCTACTTAAAAAGCTCCAAATAGACTATCAGAATCAAGTCACAGTGGGCTAACATCCCCATGGGGCACACCTGTAGTGTCTAGTGCCCACCTAGCTCAGGCACACCACTGGCACTAGATACATTGAACACGTGCTCAAATATGGTTTCCGGTTCTGTAATTCAGAGGTTATTTTAATCCCATTGGTTTGATAAGAATTTAAATTCTAATCAAATCCTTCAAGTATGGATCTTTAGATATCCTTAATGATAATCCAAAGTGATACAGCAACTTTATGTACATAAGAAAAAAGAAATGTGGTATTTCTAAAAAACAAAGGAAATGTATCTGAAGAGTTTTATCTGCATATATTTAGACAACACTGAAAATGTCATCTAGTTTACAAAGTATAGAGATTTCTACAGTAGAGTGGGAATGATAAACTTCTCTGGCTCAGTGGACAAGACTGACTCTAGTGCTCTGGATAACTGTATAAGATACATGTATATACAAGCAATCAAAATCCTACTTTGAGATGAAGAGATGATAGGTACTAGTAAAAATGTTAACAGAACCAAAAGGTCAGATTTAATGAACTCACTGACATTAAACTACTAGTAAAATGTCTGTCGTTTTAAAATGTTACTGTTAAGAATTATGGTTTTGTTTTGTATTAAATCTACCACCAGTTTAATAAATGTAAAAACACTTATCGAAAAATAAATTTCCCAGTGACACTGTAAGTGAAATACTTTTATTTTCATAAATAAAAAGATAATTCATTGTACAAACACCTTTAGCAGTATGTTAGCTCTCATTATGGGTCTAAGTATGAAAGGTACACAGTAGTAACACAAAGTTATCTCTATAATCTCATGCAATCTCTTTACACTTGTTAACTTCCCAAAATTTCCAACACCATTTCAAATGTTATGCATAATGGGATATTTTAGTCACAAAGTGTCACCTCTGCTGAGTCAAGAGTATAGTGCTTACATCAAAGTTGCCGATTACTGATTTAAAGTAATGCCAGAATTATCTCATGTTACAGAAGCACTGGGCAAATTATGTTTCCATTGCTGATAAAGTGGTATCACAAAATTGATAAAATGTCAATGTGAAAATTTAGTTAGCTAGGTTAATAAGCACTAGTAACTAAGAGAAAAAGGCCCTAGAAGCAGAGAGTAATAAGCTGGCATTAAGTACTTTTTAAAGTTTTGTCAGTTAATGGCATAGACCAAAAAGATTACTGATTTTGTAGTATCTATCACAAAAAATGCAGTGAAACTATTTTTTTTCTGGATACAGCAAAATAAAAGGTTCGAGTATCACCCTACTTATTCTGGAAGCTGCAGATCTAAATATTAGATGTTATATTGCAAAGATGTTATATTAGCATTTTCATGTATTTTTTTTAAATCTTAGTCTGTAGCTTTTTATCAGAAGTGTAAACTATGATTTATCATCATTTACATGAACACAATATTTATTCAGATAGCATAATCTATTCTTCATAATGAAACACTTATTCCTAGTTCAATATTTTATATGGACTTTACAAATTTCTCCCAAGGCTGTTGTGTAGACTCGGGGATTGCTCTATGTTGAGTATTCAACACAGTGCCTGGCATGTAATACCTCTTAATAATAACTATTATTATTTCTATTAATATAGACAATCCCTCATTTATAACAGGAATAAGAGAAGTAGCTAATACTTCTAACTGAATAACCAAAAGACGATAATCCTAGAGATGTATATGAGTTTTGTTAAAGTATCATGTACCTACTATTTCCCAAGTTTGTGTTTATACTACAAGTGGTTCAAATACTACAAGATATCTTTAAGATCATACTGTATGTTGGCTCTCTAAGTTTATGCTATAGACTTTGGCCTAAGTCAATACCAATTCTGAATCAATACATGTATTAGAAAAATCATACAAAAATAATGTATGCTGAAATCAGGTAGTAAAAGCATTTACCAGAACTTCTGTGACAAAAGTAGTGTTACCAGTGTAATTCAGGACAACCTATCTTGTTTTAAGTTTTTTCTTTATATCATGCAATATTTGACTTCAGCAAAAACATTTTCTTTCTTTCTCTCTTTTCTCACATAGAAACACTAAGCACTGTTAGAAAGTTCTATCCTCTAGGTAAAAAACCCATTAGAAAAGGTACTTGTAAAAAATCTCTGAGTTGTAAATGAAGAGCACAGCTACCAGAACAGGAGCATTTAAATGGTCACAATCTCCCTATAAACACTCTTTCTAAGGGAATTCTGGACTCTAACATATGTAAGGAATGAAGATTTTCTGATCTTTAAGTGATGTTTTCACCAGAAAAGACAAAGGACTCAGAACATAAGTCTGTGCCACAATTAACATAATGGTGTGGGGGGTGGGGGGATGGGGAGACTATTACAAAAACCCCATTTCTGTCATTCTTCTGGTATCAAAAAAGAGCACAGAAAATAAAGTTTTTGTGAAGCCACATGATTCTGGCCTATTTTTGAAACTGATTACCACCCAGAGTCTGGGGAAAAGAACAAACCTCTATACACACCCTTAAGAGGCACCATAAAATCGTTCATGTGTTATCCTGAATAATGAAGTCTGAAAACAAAGCATGAAATAAAAACAAACTGAAGGCAGAGTCCCTCTAAATGTACTTGATTATTCTACAGGCTTCAGAGAAATCATTTCATGAAATATGAAAATGAAGTTCCAAAGTTCATTTTATCTACTAGCATCTATCTACTAGCAGAGAAATTCAAAGTGCAAGTTGCATTAATGCATTTTAGGAAATGGAGCAACCCGTGTCCTTTTGAGGTTTGATATCTGGTTCTTTCACAGGTTTCACCACCTCTTCTGGTTTGGGTTTAGTCTACGGAGAAAGGAAATTATAGTGTTAAGTACATAAACCAAGATCTGAAAAACAAACACCACGTAGTTTCCAATTAAAGTCTTTTGAAAGAGGCTCATATTACATCACACAATGCAGATAGACAGAGCCATTCCAGAAGCTGCGTGGCAACTGAACTTAAGACAGAAGTTGAACAACATCCCCATGGGGATGCACACCCAGGGAAAAATCAAACTGCGCTCTTCTGCTTTCTGAATCAGGAAGTTGAGTGATGATGGCTCTATCTATGTATGTGGAATTAAATGAAACTTGGAAATAGCTGATGAGAGTAACAAGCAATCACTTAGGGAATTCAACAGGATGCAAAGATAGTTATGTTAAAGAATAACAGCTTTAGTATAGGTTTGGAATTAATAAAAACTCAGTTTCAAGGAAGGAGTTATAAAATGACTGAGTGTCACCTCCCATCCACATTTTTCACAGATCCTTCTCTTTAATAGTCAAACCTCAAATCTTCCACTTATTCAAACATTCAATTTCCTACACCAAGATGTACTTAGACACAAATCAATAAAGGCAGTCTTATTTTACTCCTGATGATTTCGGAGTTGACATTTGGTCAAATCTTCACATACCCTGCATTATGCTAAGTCAAAAGCAGCATTGCTATAGCAACACAATCATACATGGAGGAGCCACCCTTTTCAGTTCCCTTCTCCCACTTTCCTTAAAGAACATTATCGACAAGCTGTAAACAAGGAAGTATGTGTTGAAACAACATCAGTTATGTAGAAAATCAGAAGACACAGAAGGCTCAATCCTAACTCTGAGCCCCACACAGATTGTATCTGCAAATAATTAACTAATTTAACATTCAGACAAACATACACATCTACTTAAATAGAGAAACAGATCAAAATGATAACGCTGAATTCTTTTTAAACTTTTGTGAATGAATGGAAAGAACCCAAGCTCATACACTGTCATCCTTGGGTCTTTTGGTGAGGTCAAATGCAGCCAGTGTTTCTGGTGTCCAGTGTGCATTCACAGGAGGGAATTCAAAAGGTACAGGTTCTACCAGACCATAATTTGCTTTGAGTTCCAGCTGGGGGGCTTCTGTTGGGATTTTTTGAAAGTAACTGCAAAAAGCAATTTAAACAGCAATTCATTCTTAGGGAATAGAAACTGTGATATTACTAACAATATTAACATTTAAATATTTTAAACATATTTACTATTACTAATATTTGCTAAATACCACACTATACTCACATGAATCCATTTTCTCGCTCACATTTTTCTAGGGTGTTCTTCACAAGATTTCCAAGTTTCCTAAAGAATAAATGCCCTGAAGGTTTGACTGTTGGTCCAGGGCCTTTGGTTTCTCCATATTCTTTGCATAATGCTTCTGCCTTTGCATAAACTGTATGTGAAAGGGATATACAATCATTTGACTGTACATGTCAACGTCAACTTATACCAAGAAGATTTTAAATCAGAAATGGGAGGAAATGTTATTCTCCTTGATGTAGTATAGTACAATAATAGCAAAAACAACAGTGTAAGGGAAAGGTGGATATTTCTACAGGTTCCTTGGTCTCTGAAATATTTTTTGTTTTTCTCCAATTACCTCATTCATTCCCAAGTCCCTGGCATGAACTCAGCCATACTTTCAAATGCCTATTTCCCTTTTATGATAAAACAGTTGTTTTTAAAAAAGGAGTACCTACTCTGACAGGAATACTTACATTTTTCTGCTTCTTGGAGAGCCCTGATTGCTTCACCACATTTATCACTAGACAACAGTGTCTGCCCATGATAACAGTAAGCCTGATTAAAAAAGAAAAAAAGTTCATTTTCTTCTCCAAGTCCCACTTTCTACTGTCATCTAAGTATCATGTAAATAAATGCTTTTGTCCATTGTTTGAAGCACTGAGATAGTCACTTATACATTTCTATATTAAAACTTTCCCCCAATGTCTATTAATATAAAAAGCAGAGTCATATCAGGTTTTGAGCCCAACTAGACTCTTAAACATGGGCTAAAAGCAAGAAATATTAAGTGAAACCGTTTCTAAAATTAGGCATAGTGGGGAAAGAAGGAACTTATTACATTAATGCAGAGGGAGAAAGGAGGAAGGTTTTGAAGTTATGAAACATATTTTAAGAGAATTTTATTAGCATGAAGTAGACATGTTCACTCTATAAATGTCTTTATCAATGCAGAGACTGCAAGTCATCTTATGTAGTGTGCTTGAAAACAGATAATTAAGAAAAAAATATTATACCTAAGGTTTCTAATGATCTCTCACATATGATATTCTAATCAATGAAATTTCTTTGGTGGATATGACAAGAAGTTTTAGTAACTTCCAAATCAGTGTTTATCAACAGTTCTTCACCAACCCAGGTGATAGATTATGTAAGGGAAGTAATAATATCATTAGTAGTAAATGCCTTTCTCCATGTATATGCAGGATAAATCAAATGAGAGAGTTTCTACTCAGCATGTGGAAGGTTCAAGCTGAACAGTGGGATTCTATCACTATCATCCAGCTTTACATTTCTACAGCTTCTCTTCCCCACTTCAGCTCACAACAGCTGCACTGTCAGTGACCACTTACTGAGAGTGGAAACACCATTAAATGTGAAACACCAATAGGGACTCTGAGATGACAGAGCTGGCACGTAAGGGGCTGGAAAGAGAAAACATCATTTTTAGGGCTATAAATACTTACATAAGCTGTGTAGAAACACATTTTCAAGTGAAGATATTTCCTCCATTTAGCAGAGTACACAGGCTCCAAACTGGATAAAGTATGATCTAAAGTTACATTTTAAAAAGCAAAATATAATTTCACCCTGATTCACTAGAAGACTTTCAGTTCATGTATTCAGATGCTACAAGCAGAATGCCCTTCAAGTATAAAACTCAAGAGCTTAAACATTAAAAACTTTTTTTAAGATTAATTTATCTATGCATATAAGAAATGGGGTGAAGGCCAATGGTGCAGGGGGATAAGAGGGTTCACCAGAGACAGAGTGGGAGCAGAATAGATGGATCTACTGAAACGCATTATTGAGGGCAGCAGCAAGAGACTAGAGAGGTCTGCTACACCATCTGGGATCAGCTCCTTGGCCGGGGATTGAACACATGTTGCAGTGGTTGGTGACAGCCTGATAGCATGGAGACTTAACCCCCAGGCCACCACAGAGGCCCCTAAAAACCTTGTTTTATATAAAGTGACTTATTGCCCCATAACTGTTATTTAAATTCCATGGTATCTATCTGATGCTTAATGGACCTTAAGTTTAAGCTAATGACATCAACAGGTAAGACTAAGAACTTCAAGGTAAATACAAATTCCATGGTTATCTTTTTTTAGATTTATATGCAGAGAGAAGCCCACACCAGAAACATGGAGGATAATATTACTCACCACCCTTTTCTAAATCCCCAATGAATCTTGTATACAACACATACACATCTTGCTAAACACCCCTCAAAAAGCGATTTCTTTCTCCCTATTTCCTATTTTGCTGATTTTGTAAGAGTTTTCATCATTTCCTTCATACACTGTAAGCTCCTTGACACAGCAAGCCCACTTCTCATCCTGCAACCATGAGGACTTTTCCTAAAATCAAATTTAGGTAAGTTACTTACTTAGTATCTTTAAGGGGTCTCAACCTACTATAGAAAGATCATGCTTCCTGGAGTTAACAAGCCATTCCTGACCTCCCCCTGCGCACACACACACATATACACAGAACTGTCCTGACCTTTTCTCCCACCACTACCCTGTGTTTCACTGGAGAGCATCTGCTTAATGGGTCCAGAAGGTACTGAGTCTTTCTCATCCCTGAACATATATGGGTATTCTTCTCCACCCATGCTCTAAAGCTCCTTGACAAACTTAGAACATCTATCTGCATTTTATAGCAAGACAAAAATACCGCCTTTCTCTATAAAGCTTTTGCCAGCATGCCTGGATCCTTTAGGATTTTTTTTTTAATCTCACTGGTAGAATATCTTATTCTTGCTTTAATAATGTGGTTATATACTTGTCCCCATATCCCTAGACTGTAAATCTGTTCTGATTTACTTAGGCTACCCAACAACTGTAACAATAACCATCCCGTAAAAAGAAACAGATATATGAATGAGTAAGTGAATGAAAGGAACAGGCTGATCAGAACACTGGAGTTCCAACTTCCCACCTGATAGCAGTTAAATGATGAGTTAGTTATATTAACTCTCAGGATTTGTTTGTTGTTTTGTTTTGTTTTGTTTTTGTCTAAATAAGGGTTTAACTAAAAGCTATTATAAAGATCAAAAAAAAAGTCATAAACTGTATGTCATTAGATGTTATAGCTTAGAATGTACAGCATCCTACTTTCTATTACAAGGCATGTCACATATTAAGTGAACAGCTCTAATTGTTTTTACTTATTTTAAACAAGATTAATCAAACACTTTTGCAAATGAAACAATCAGCATCTTTTGTTTTGTTTGTATCCTACTAAGAGCAAAAAAAATCATCAAATCTAAGGCACAGATTTAAAAAATGACTTATAAACTTACCAGCTTTTTGATAGAAATTGGCTGTTTCATATGCCAGTGCAGCGATTAGGCCAGGAGCATGTTTTAGTTCAATTGCTCGAGCAATTGTTACTGCAACCGAAATACAATAAAGTGCTAAGTTCACTTACATTCAGTCTAAATTCAATTACAAAAGACAGTCTGATAGTCTATTTAGGATTTTAACACAGGAAAGTAAGGAAAAGTACTTTTAAGGAAAGTAAGTTCCAGAAAACGCAAGCCTAAACGAATAGAAAACAATGAGCTTGTTGATTTTGATACCATTTCTTTAAATAAATCACTTGTCAATTACCAGTTAATCAAAGAAAATATTATGATGTAAAAAAGATACAAATACTTTCAGGGCATGGAGTTTAAAGAGAGAAAAACACAAGTCTACATGGTGTTGCCTATTGTTTCACTTATTTCTGGACACTGACAGCCCAATGGTGGAAGAGGAAAAGGCCTAAGCCAGGGGAGAAGGTAAAAGATGAGTTGCAGAATTAAGTGTATGCTGTCAGAAAAGATATGAAATCAAAATTCTCTTATGAAGAACCACTAAACTGGTAGCCTTTTTCCTTGAATTAAACATGAAAGCAAAGGACTAGTAGTAAAATTATTCCTCACTGAAAATTTCTCAAAACTAGAAACTCAGCTAATTTTAAAATCAGAATCAAGTGCTGTATAGATCTTCTTACAATATTTTGATTACCTTCTTGAGCTTCAGCCTGACATTGGATAACATAGGCATCTATGAGCCGTGCCTCCAAGTCCCGCCCCTTCTCTGCAGGTGTAAGGAGTTTAGGGATATGACTTTCCTGAGGGAAAAAAAAAGAAAAACCAAAAAAGTCAATTGTATTTTAACCCCACTGATAGAGATCGAAAGCTAAAGTATGAAATACTTAGGATTTACCAGAAATTACACACAAAAAGTGGGTAAAAAGAACCATTAAGTTACAGAGAATAAAATTCCTGTAAACTAGAACTTTTTTTTTCATACACATGGTTTTTTTTTTACATTATTCTTCATTTTGTGCATTCTTCATCTCAGTTGTAATCCCCATGAGGTAAACCAGAACTTTTAAAATATTTTAAAAGCTTTTGCTAAATCAAATTCAAAAGTGAAATCTGGATTATGATAGACTGCTTGGAAATGCAAATCATGTAAACTTAAGTGAAAATGAAGTCCTCTTTTGCCTGATAGCAAGAATTATTTATTTACATTAGTAAGTATAGGTGTAAAAAAAAGATTACAATCTTATAGTTAACTGAGGATGGCAGCTTTTCATTGCAAAAGCATCTTATTTACCACGAGAAAACTCAACTTTGGCATCCAGTAAACAGTGGTTTAATTAGAAAGGGGGAAACAGAAGTAAACAGTCTTTCTCTGAGTTCCCACTGCGTCAGATAATTTAATAAGTGTGTACTGACAGCCCTTCTGGCATTTTCACTGACAGAGACACATTCCATTCAGTTTTGTAGACTAGTAACTTCTATTGGCAACTGCTGCAAAGATCAACAAGAAATAGTAAAAACCATACATTTTTCTGCAATGCTTTATCTTTTCAGAAGAAACAGAAAAATAAGCAGTGAATTACAGCTTCAATCTTCAAATTGTAAAATTCACTGGTGATATTCTAAAAAAACATTTAATATTTTGTAATTGGCTTCACTTACCAACAAAGAACTTAAAGAAAAATGAACACATATAAACAATTCTCCTTACCCCCCCAAAAAACCCTAATATTATTTAAGAATTAAAGCATAAAGAATATGTGTTGTGTGTGTATTAGTACACAGTTACCTTTAAATGTTTAAAAATCCCAGCTGCAATTTTTAGGCTTCGATGAACTTCCTTTGCTTCATCTTCTGTTATGCTTAAAAATAGTGATTATAGTAGAGGATGAATCCCATTTCTGACATTAAAGTCAGTAACAATACATTTTAAAACCAAATCTGGCACTTGAGCTTCTCATCATTATTTACTTTTTTAAAAAAAATCAAATTTGACACTTAAAGTAGCAAGTGTACACAAAAATTATCTAAAGAGAAGGTAAAACAAATGAAAACAAGAGCGCCCCTGTCTGAGGAATGGACCAAAAAAAGGCCTGTTTTCCTTCCAGATCACCTATGCATAAAGAAACGTAAACTCGAACTCACTGGATGCGTGCATACACTTATTAATAGACATGTTCATTACCCACTCTGCTCTTGATCTGATCATCTAAGTTACTTTAAAAATAATTTTACATCAGCATTTGCAATTCATTTTTAAAATGCTACGTACTAATGCATCCTAGTAGGTAGTGAGCAGGTTCCCATTGCTAATATCCACTTTTGTTACTATAAAAATTTTATCTCATTTTATGTCATATACTTTTTCTGTTCTTATGAAATATGTATGTCTTTTACTTATTTTCAATCGATCTTTAGTCTCTTCATGTTGGTCTGAAAGTGTAAGTCATAAAGACAATTTGTCACACACTGCTTTTTTGGGGGGGACTTATCTGCCATTCGCTCGATACATTATTTCTGTAGACAGAACTTTCTGTGGTAAGATTATTAAAATATTTTTTCTTTTAATGCTGGGCTCCGTTTCTGATAAATTATATTACAAGGCAACTTTTCAACTATCTCAAGTGTTATTTTTATCAACAGCCTAGACATTCTAATGAAGCTATACATATTTCAAAACTAAATGTGTATACATACAACCCTCCCTTTTAACTTACTTTTCTTTTCCAGCCAGTCTTGAAGCATATTTGGTATACCATAAAGCTACATTAAATCCCATGGAAATTAATTCAAAAACAGCATCCTGCTGGGCACTAGAATTAAGAAACATGATCATTAAATTCTGTCATTGACAAATCTCTGCATGAAGTCCACTCTACATAAAATTCAAAAAAAATTTCATAAAAACTATGTATTAACTGATATAAAAGAAGAATAGTACATGTGCTTAATACAGAAGGGAAGACATATATACATAATAGCCTAGTACATACTTAACAACAGTAAACATGAACAGCAGTTCCCAAAGCACAGACTTCTCGAGCTTAAACCCACAGAATCAGAAAACTTGGGATGGGTCCCATCATTTGCATTTTTACAAGTATCCACTTTATTATGATACAGGTGGTTAAGAGAACAGAATTCAGGAATGATTTCAAGGTAGAACAATTAAAGGCAGCTTACTGGTATTATGTAAGATCTGAATTGTGCCTTGAAAGATAGTGAAAAGGAAAGAACAACCCAGGTGAGCGAAGGACAACCCAGGTGAGCGAGTGACACCACTGAAGTACAACAAAATAGAAATATTTGTCTGATAATAGTGGCCCAACTAGCTTCAATAGAGCAGGTAGCTTGTAAAATGAAATCAAAGAACAGAAGCACTACAGGCCAAACTTAAGAAAAACTACAAGATCCCAAATGTGAGCCAATCAGCAGACTGCAGGCTTGAAAACGAGTATAATTTATGTTCCTAAATTTTGTTCACTATCACTCTTATGAGATCATGAAAACTCTTTGTACATTTATTTCAAATGATGATGAAAGCATAATACACATATTTTATGTATGTAGCACTGAAATACAGAAAAATTACCCAAAAGGAAGAAATTAGACTGTGGATTATACTTTTTAAAACATTATTAAAAAGATATTGGTGATGGGAAACCCGCGGGGATTACAATCGAGATGGAAAAAAAAAATGTGCAAAATGATGTAAAAATAAACTTTGTAATAAAAAAAAAAGATAGATATTTTATGATAATAATGAACAACTGTATACCAGAGACATTTTACAGGGGTGGGATGGGATCCAAAACAGTGGGGGGAGGGAAGTGCACTGCAGTATGGCGGTGGCACACAGGTGATATGGTGATGCAAAGCCCACGGGGATTACAACTGAGGTGGAAAAAGGCACAAAACGATGTAAAAATAAACATATTATTTTTTTTAAAAATAGAGAAATTTTAGATTAAAAAGGGCTTGTTATAAAATAGTTCAGGAGAAACAGTATTTTTACTTAATGGAGAATATTAGTTAGATCAAATGTTTCTAATTAATTTCCTGACAGGAGAAAATGCTGACCAGATTTTATTTAATGCTTCACACAACAAAGGCTATGCATTAGCCATTGGCTAAATAGCTACAAAAAGGGCTTAAATTTACCGGTAGCACGTCTTACCTTGGAACCTGTCCATATAAGGTATCAGTCCATTTGAAATTTTGAATATACCTTAACTTGCTTTCTTGAGTAGATTCATCCAATGAATTTATGAAACCTATAAAGGTACAAAAACATTTCAGTTTTAGATTACCAAGTGCTTTGCTTAGAATAATTTTCAGGTAGGGCTCTTCTTGGTGGAGCAACAGGAATATGAAAAAAAAGCGCAGGAATATGAAGCCACCTGCAGCCACTGCAGCACAAGTTCAATCTCCAACCAGGGAGGTGACTCACCTGGTGTGGCAGACCTCTACTGACCCCCCACTGCTCCCCCCAGCAGTTTGTTTCCCTTGCCACCACACCTCTGGCCTATACCCCAGTTCTTGTATGAATAAATAAATCTTCAAAATAAAAAATTTTTTTCAGGTGATGATTTACCCATGTGTCTGAATGAAACTCATTGCCCTTGCTATAGCTCAACACACCCGCCTAAGTAACATAATATGAAATATGTACACATTCACTTTTCAAAATGTTCCAAGACCACCTACCATGCTTACATTCTCATGTAACTGAAGCTTAAGTAGGTCAAAGAACATGGCCTAAAAGTCTAAGCTATTCAAATCAGAAGACCAGAGGTGTGCGGGCAGTGAGAGGATTCACCAGAGACAGAGTGGGAAGCAGAAAAAGCCGACTGATGAAGTACTAAGTACACTGCTGAGGGGAGCAGCGGATGTGTCAAGAGAGGTCTGCAGTGCCATGTGGTTCACTTCCGGGGCGAGATCGAACTCTTGCTAAAGTGGCTTTAACTTCTTAGTGCTGTGCTTTAACTTGCTGCACCACCAAGGAGGGCCCAGTTTTTTGTTTTTGTTTTTGTTTTTTTTTTTAACTCAGAAGTTCATACAAATGACTAACCTTGTAAAAATGAAAAATAAGTATCTGCTGCATTCTTCATCATTTCCGGATTACAACTCAAATCAGTGAACAGTTCAAGCAGTCGTGCTCTGGATGATCTTAAGTCACTAGTATCAGAAAGACACAGTCAGCTGTTAAGAGGGGTTCTGGGACCCAACTCCACAGTGGAAGGCATGCTTTGCCCCATGAAGTAATGTTCCAACACCATCTGGGAGTCCTACAGGTCAACTCAATTCTTACACTATCCACATAGAGACAGCATCACATTCTACAAGTCAAGGGTTCAGTCTCACAAGACCGCCCCCATCCCTGCACGTACCATCTGTCAACAGCAACCCCTGCTGTTACCTCTACTTCTGACCAACTGGCTTTAAATGAGCGGTTAACACAACCTCCTCCTTGGGTTCTTGGAGTAGTTCACAGAATTCACGAAACATTTTACTTAGTAGCTAAAAGATGTAAATGATGTACAGTCAAATGGAAATCTAAGAAGAACAGGCAAGGTGGACAGGGTGAAAGGCTTTCATGGCCTCATAAAGCCCCTACCTCCAGCACTCACACGCGCTCACCAACCTGGCAAGTTACAGACCCTGTGCTTGTGGGCCTTAACAGATGTTCTACTACATCATTGATTAAATCACTGGTCTTTTGGATGGGGCTCATTCTCCAGCCTCTGCTCTCTGGAGGTCAGGAGAGGAGACTGCAAGTTTCAACCCTTTAATCATGGTTGACTCTTTGGAAAACCAACCTCCATCATTAAGAACTGTCCAAAAGTCACCTCACTGACACTTTTGTTATCATTCATCACTTAGAAATTTCCAGGTTTTTAGGGGTTCTGTGCCAGAACTGGGGAAGAAGAACACATTTATATGTCTTATTATACATCACCATATCACAGTTCTATTATGGTGAATCTGCATAAAAGTGAGTTAAAACATTTTTAATTATAAGAGCATTAAAAAATAATGTACACATCACTAGGGTACTATGTACATAAAAATGAATTTACTTAGGACAAATACTAGAGATAAATGAAATATCCAGTAACTGTCAAAACGTTGCACTAAAACAAATTCAATCCAATTAAAGAGGAAATCCTCAATATAATTATGTAATTAAAATATATTACAAGCATTAGCATGAAAAATTCAAGGAAACAAACATTTAAGATGGAAGCGGGATTAAGAACAAGTAACTTACGCTGACCAACTCACAATGAAAGCATTAGGAAAAATGGAAATTTAACGTGTTTATGATTTTAGCTTCACATTATTTTAACTTTTGACATGACACATAAAATGCCAAAATGGACTTGAAGAAAACATTTTAAAAATGCAACCGTGTTCTCTCTTTAAGCCCATACATAAAGAAATGTGACTATGGCCATCAGCCTTCTACAGCTGCTCCCTGGACTCCCTTTTCCTTTACTTCCCTGCAGCAGTAAACACTGCAGATCCTTTTTTTTTTTTTTTAATTTATTTATTTATTCATATAGAACTGGGGTACAGGCCAGAGATGCGGAGGGTGAGAGGATTCACCAGGAACAGAGTGGGGAGCAGAACAGGCAGATCGACAAAGTACACTGCTGAGGGGAGCAGCGGGCGGGTCAGGAGAGGTCTGCCGCGCCATGTGGATCACCTCGCGCCATGTGGATCACCTCCGGGGCAGGCGGGAATCAAACTCATGCTGAAGTGGCTTAAGCTTCTTAGTGCAGTGCTTTAACCCGCTGTGCCACCAGGGAGGGCCTGCAGATCCTTTTTTCCTTGAATTCTTTTCTCTCGATTCCAACCACACTAAATTTTCCAGGTTCTCCTTTGTCTCTAAAAGCTCCTGCTACATTTTTCTCTGGCCCTCTTACTCCCATGTCCAAACATACTCAGCTTTGGCTTTCCAGTTTTCTCCCTTTTGAGATCTCATCTTTACATCCAATCCTGTATCTACATCAGTTCTAACGTGGTTCTATTCCAGTTCTACCTTTAATTTCAGAAGTTAACTAGCTTACTTAGGTCTCCAAAGTCACATTACAGAGGCAATGACTAAAAACACTTGAAGTGCCCTTAGATGACCAAAGAAAATAGAGGGTGCTTAGGTGAAAGCAGGTTCTAGAAATTCTTTGGTGAGTAAAACAAAACTAAGATTCAAATATTTTCTTTTAATATATAGGAGAGCTATAATGCAGCAGTGATGTTCCAAGAGCACAGACTCTGTTGCCAATGGTATAGATAATGCTACTTCATTGTACCAGCACTGAGAACTATTCTAAGAATGTATACCCCAACAATTACAGAAAGCGGACCAAAAATGGTATAAACTTCTTAAAATTCTTTTCTCTTGATTCCAGTAACACTAAATTTCCCAGGTTCTCCTTTGCCTCTGAAAGACCATTGGTTATTTTTTTTTCTAAACCCGTCCTTACTGAATTATTTAACTAGAAGTTGGAAAGGAGTAGTTCCTGGACTAGGGGCAAGTGGAACCCTATAGGCTAATTTGAAACTCCAATAATTGGCTGGTCACTTCCAGGGAGACACTCAATCATCTTGTGCAACCCAACTTGTGTAGCTATGCTCATTATGAAAGTACAGAATTTGAGAAAAACAGGTATTACAAGTATTTAATTTAAGCTCTTCATTATCTAGATGAGTAATTAGGTCCAAAGAAGTTAAGAGACTTGCCCAAACCTAAACAGACAAAAACAGTTAAGCTGGGACCAACTTCTAGAAGTCTAAGAGTAGAGCAAACTAAAAGCTGACTGGTATTTTGTATGGCCCATAGTAAACTTTTGTAAAAATGATCAAAGAATATGCAACAGTGACTATTGGTAGCCCAGCCTAAGTTTCCTATTTAGCCCTTTATAGAAAAAGTCTGCTAATACCTGTTTCAGATTAAGCTAGTTTCCTACCTTTTGCTCTAATTACTTCTTTCCACAAGCAGCAACTCTTGCTTTTGCTTTATTGGTAGCAACGAAGCCTTGACCATCTAAGTTCTATATCTCATGGACTGAATCCTTTCCAACTTCCCAGAACACATCAGTCAACCTGGTCAGAGACTTTTCCTTTGACATGTCTTTTGCACCTACCACTTTTATCCCAGTCAAGCAACTCTATCTATTAGCCTGAGAACAAGGTTTTCTTCACAGAACTGTTTTTTGTTTTTGTTTTTTTTTTAAGTACCTTGCATCCAAAAGTAGCAGTCAGTCAATACTTGTTGATGTGGACTAAAACTTACCTGCAAATTTTTGAAGCAGCATTACTGGTGGCTACACCATAGTAGTTAAAGGAAACAGGAGCTGTGGCTTTTAATGGGTTCCTATGAAACCAATGTGTCATTTTCTCCAGATATCGTCTAAAAACAAAAATGAATTTTATAAAAATTAGACATTAAACATACACCATAAATAGCACAGAAATTTTTAAAGTGAAAGTTTATCTATATTTACTTTTATATATAACATACTTGTACAAACAAAATGTTTGATTACTATCAGTCAATATCACTTTATAAGTAGTCTGTGTAGATCAGGCTTATTAAAAAACAGCATTTGGAAAGTTAGCCATAGTAATGGCAATGCTGAATGTATCACAGTTGCAATGTTTTGTGCTACTGTGCATAAAAATCACTGGAGGTGGGGGTTATGATTGTTAAAATGCATGTGCAACAGTTAAGTTAGGACCTGAGATAATAATGCTGTTGGTCCCCAAACTCCATTTCTGAGTAGCAAAGTACTAAATTAGTCCTCACTTAATATGGTGCACAAGTTCTTGAACTACAACTTTAAGCAAAACAACATAGTGACAAGCTTAGTTTCTTGCCATTACATGAGGACCAGCTGTGCTAGACTTTGGATAGCTCTGAATGAGAGGAGCACCGTACCAGATGGATATAAATTTCCCAAACAGGTTCAATTAGTCATCTTCTTTAGGTAAAGTGCTCCATTATTTGAAAGAGGCTTTAAATTAATTCTATTCCCACATGTTATTGCTAATGTAAAAATTGAGTGGGTTCTACAATAAATACACTGTCTATAAAACAGTTAATAAGAATCAATATCATCATTAAAAAAGCAACATGGTACTTGACCAATAACTTTTTTTTAGATCCAGTAAATCAGTTGCCCTTTCCAACTTGGAAATTTCCTGTCTGGTCTAATCTTTGGAGGCGTAAAACAGTAACTAATATCTTTAAAAAAATTTGAAAAGCTATCTACATGAAATGGCAAGAAAAAATTCAGTTCAAAGTCTCCGTGGTGGAGCAAAGTGTTAAGGGCAGCACTATGAAGCTATCAGCTGCCACGGCAGCATGAATTCCATCCCAGCCAGAGAGGTGACCCACATGTTGCAGAAGACCTCTCCTGTCTCACCCATTGCCCCCTCCCCCCCTCAGCAGTGTGTTTCAGGCAATCTGCCTATTCTGCTCCCCACTCTGCCTCTGGTGGATCTCTCACCACCAGCAACTCTGGCCTATGCCCGGGGTTCTTGTATACATAAATAAATCTTTAGAAATATTTTTTTTAAAGTTCAGTTCCACACCTTCTAGTTCCTTTGCCTGAAAATCCTTGAATAAAAAGTGCAAATAACATAGAAAGGCCTAGCAAGAGACATAAATATCGCAATTAAAACCCAATAAGAAACAACTCAGATAAGGTACGATTTTTATGAAGGTATTATACAATGTTAGCTATTGTGATTTTTGTTTGTTTGTTTCTTGTTTGGGATGTGAATAGACTGTATATCTATTTCAAGCACCTCCATTACAATCCTTACTTATTTATGACAACACCAGTTTGGAAATCACCAGGTATTTAACGAACAGGAAACTAACCCATCGTGTGCTCAAAAGAAATATTGCGCAAGTTCATTTGATTCAAAGTATTTACCAAGTACAAAGACTATACCATCTTCTGGACATCGTCCACTGTAAGCTTGTTTTATAACCTAAGTAAACTAAAGATAACGGTACACAACACACTTGACTTGGGGTAAACAGCTTTTCTACACTCTTTTACCGCGCCCTTCCACTTCCTGGTTGTAAATGTCTGAATTTTTGGATATTTACGTCAGGGGCGAAGAGGTTAAGTACTGTATTCTCTGGTTCTGCCCCCATCATTTCCCTCTGAGCATCAGTTCCCGAGTTTTCAAGTGTTCTGGGCAAGGTTGTTTGTGGAGAAGACACACCCACCACCCGTATGCGGATGCCCTTTTAACCACCAGGCAACACTAGGATCGCGAATGCCACCTAACCCGTCTCCATAGGAGTCCCATTACAGAGCAGGAGCCGCCACTCCCAGAGCACCTTACCTACCTAAGCACAGCGACCGAGTCTGCCCACTCGCTTCCTGTTTATTGCCCCGCCTCTTCCTCCCGCGCCCAGGCCTAAATACGGCGGTGGGCGGTTCTACCGCGCAATCGCCGACCCCAATCGTGCACCACTACCCACACAGGCATTGTCGTGGAAAGCCGAGACAATCTACCCGGGCGGGGGGGGGGGGGGCGCCAACGAATGCAAAACCATCCCCTAGTTTATAAGCCTAAAACTCCCCGGGGTGGGCAAAGGATTCAGCGAATCCAGCTGTTAATGCCAAGGATTCGCGGAGTCCTTCCTTCCTGTCATTTGCTTCAAGGCACTAGGAGACTTGTAGAGCACTCTCCGGTGTCTACAGAGACCTTATGAAAGGGGATGACCCTATTGCTGGGGGTGGCGGAAAAGGACAGGGACAGGAGGTACTGAAAAATCCCCAGCCTCGTAGACAAACTCACCAGCTTTCTTGGGATCTGTCCAGCAGTTCTCCAAAGGAAGAAGGCCAGTTCTGAGTCCGCTGGTGGGAAGGGTGTCTAGAGGGGGACTTCACCGAGCCAGGGCTACCCGGCCACAGGGACCGGAAAACAGTTCTGCCCCGAACCTGGGTCACGTGGTACGGAGACCATGACAGCTACCGAGGCGGTAGTGGCGCCGCTGGGGGGGCGTTGTCGTCTCCCCCTCAGATCGCTCGAGTGTTTGGCTTTTTCTGGACTCCTCTGTACTCCCCTATCCTCAGGCGCCGCGCCTCTTGTCCCAAGACAAGCACAGAGGGACAGGCCGCCCCAGCCAAGGAGGAATGCCGCGGTAGCAATGGCTGCAGCGGGTGGGAGCGGGGCGGCCTCAACCTAACTGGGGCGGGACTAAGGGCGGGGCCTCGGCGGGGCGGCCTCGCCGGAGCCGCCAAGTTTGGCTGTGGCGGCAAATGGGCTTGGGCGGCTCCTGGGCGGGTGGCGGTGGTGGCCAGCGCGGTTCCTCCTGGCCCTGTTAATGTCGGGGCCCAGTCCGGGAAGGATGGCGCCCTAGGACCCGGCCTTTCGGGGGTCGGGGCGGGAGGGTCGGGGGCGGCCGGCCGGCCATGTCGGAGGTGACCCGGAGTCTGCTGCAGCGCTGGGGCGCCAGTTTTAGGAGAGGCGCCGACTTCGACTCTTGGGGCCAGCTGGTGGAGGCGATAGACGAGTATCAGATGTGAGTGACTAATCGCAGCAGCGGGCCAGCCTGGCCCCCGTCGGCCGCCTGCCCTTCTTCCCTATCGGGGACTCTCACCCGCGTCTCTGCTGCCCAGACTCCTCAGGGTGGGGCCCCGTGGGCACGAGGGCTGAGATCGCACTGGCACGGGGGAGGTGGCCCAGGGACCTCGGTCAGCTTGCCGTCCTGAGTTCCTGCCCGACTGTCCCCTCCGCCACCTCCGGGCCATGTCCATGCAACAGGTACCCCCCCTTTCCTGGGGCGCCAGCCCGATCGGGCTACCTGCTTGGTTCCTTCCCACCATCTCCAGGTCCCCCCTCTCTGCGGGCAATTTCCTTCCCTCCTCTCCTCCGCCTCTCCCAGGTTGCCGCCCCTCCTTTGCTCTCTCGGAATCTCCGAGGAATTGTTGGTGCGTTCTCCGCCCACGTTCCGGGGATGAGTGGCCTGGCTCTGTCTGTCGCGCCTGCCTCCTCCCCGGTGTAGGACAGGAGAAAACTGGTCGCGATAGTGGGGTGGGGGTGCTCCGGGATGCAAGGAGGCCAGAGGTGCCTCACCAGCCTGGAGAAGGGTCTCTTCCCGCGCCCCTTCTCCACCCAGCTCCGGCGAGCGGGGTTTTCAGGTTTCACCTCCGATCCGTTTCGGTTTCTTGGGCTGTTTGCTTGGCTGTGCGATTCCCACCCACCCCCTCGCTCACTGGCTTTGGGTGGAGTCCGCGCAGGATGTGAACCGAAGAGAGCAAAATGTGAATTAACGGACGGCTCCCCGGAGCCCCCGCACCCTCCTAGGTCGCTCCTCCTTTTCCTGTGTAGAATGTATAGCCCTAGGGTACCACTGAGTACCAGTGTTGCTTTGATCCAAGGAAATCCGATTTCTTTCCAAAACCACTTCAGCGATGTTTGTAAAATGAAAGGACACAATTTACGTACATTTAAGTTTTTGCTCAGTTTCTTGCAATATTTTACAGAAAATACGAACTGCTTACTAAAAATGCTGTTTGCAAAACCACTGATGAAATTATTTCTTGGTTTAAAGCGAATTATTGTGTGAAAGGTTTTGCCACGAGGAAATCTTTCTATGTCTTCTGCAAAAAATACAAGATGGTACTTAGCAGAGGAAAATTATCCTTTCACTTAAATAGTTTTTATCTGACCATTAAGATAGTTGCAATACGTAGCTGTTCTTCATCCTATCTTACTGGCTTTAAATCGCCTGTAGTTTCAAAAAGTCCTAAAAGCCCCCATATGCTTTGGGCTTTGGGCTTTGTGCAGCATGTAACAACCTCTTGCATTTGTGTTGTATTTTGACTTGATTTCACTTTCTTCTGCAGCTACTCGGCATTATTATCCTCATTTTACAAAGTGAGTAAACTTAAACTCAGGTTATCAGCTTAACTAGTGTCACAAAACTACCCCCACTTAAATCTTTTTTTTTTTTTAAGATATAGATCCTGCCCACTAAACTAGGTAATGCTTTAAGATGCTGATGGTGTGAAAATTGGAGAAAATAATAGATTTCCTTCATTACCAGAGAACAAAGACATTTATACTGTAACCAATAGATAGTGAGAGTAGACTCACTTGTATGTTAACTAAAACTGCATACCCTGAATATGAAGCTGCTGCTCACTTGTGATGTGGTGGGACTTAGCAGCTGTTGGCACTCAGCTGTAGGCCTCACAGTGAAAAGTGGGGAATACCATGTCCAATTGGAATTACAAAGGATAAGTGAACACACAAGCTGTTTAGTTGGAATTTCTAGAAGCTGCTCATTGGGGTAATAATAGGCACATACAGATCCATTGTTGGAACTCCATATTAATCTCTGAACTTCATGGTTTAGAGTTGTTATTATAACTGCCACTATCAAATTGATACAGATGATTGGCTCAAATTTTGTGGGCATGCCATCTGTGGGGAGATACTTATTTATATATGTATATATGTACATGCATGGTCATTTTTTAAATCACCTAGATATTTTTAAATGGAGGCAAATTGTCTTTTTGATTTGAATAAATATGGGAGAAAGCTGTAGAAGCAATGAGTTGGAGGCCGCTAAATCATGAGAAAATATTGACTGGGTTTAGCCACTGACTGGAATGGGAGTAAGGAAGGCAGAAGAGTCTAAATGGCATTTTTAACTGGATGAGCAGCTGGTTGGTACCGGATCAAGTTTATGGGCAGGGGCAGCTTGGGGGCAGAGGTGTAAGCGTACTTATACTACTATAGCTTAAGAACACAAGTGTTTCAAAAGTTTCATCACTCAACAAGTGAGAACTGGGGATAGTAAGATGAATGAGGTTAGATTTCTGTCCTCAAAGCACTGAGAGACAATTTGAAGGACGTTAGAAGAATAGGTTGTTGTTATCACAACACTTATAGATGAATGATAACACTTACAGATGTTATACAAGAAGGATTTTTGTACTTTTTCTGAAAGGCTCTTCCCAGTTATCTGTTTGGGTAGATTGGCCTCTCCTTCAAGTCTTTGTTCAAAATATCTTCTCAGTGAGGCTCTCCACCACCCTGTTTAAAATTGCAAAGTTGGTGCTTGCCCCTATAGTCACTCTGTCTTGCATCACTAAGTCTCCTCCCCAATGTTGCCTCATTTTGTATATCACATCATGCACAGAATTTAGTACTTTCTTTTTTTTTTTAATCTCCATTAGACTGTAAGCTCTTTGAGGGCAAAGTATCACAGGGGTTAGTTTTGTCCTCTATTGTATACTCAGTAGTACATTATCAATAAATAATGCGATTTATATGTATTTGTGTACAGTTAAGTGGATGAACTTGAGAGTGTACTATGGGAGAATGAAGAAATTGAGGTCAGAATACTCTTGGAAGATTTAAACAAGTTGGATCAAAATTAAAATTGCTGTCAAAATCCACAGTCAGTTAAAAACAACTCAGCTTCCTAGGAATACAAGATTTCTAACTTAATCTTGCTCAGGATCACATATTTCACAGGGTCAGTCCTGGGGTAGTAACTTGGCACATAGACTCTTAATAAATGGATGGATGAACATGAAAACAGGGTACCACCTGCTTTGAGTCATCTTTTCTTTGCCGGTTATCATTGCCACTCGGTGCCACAGGGACTGCACTGGTCTGTAGACTGCTATCCACCCTGCCACAAAATAGATAAAGACACTGAGATTTAGGCTTTAGAAACTATACCTGATATGGCCACAATACTTATTTTGTTTAATAAAAATACTAGCCTAACAATAAAATGATAATAATAATGAACAGCTATATACCAGAGACATTTTATGGGGGTGGAGTGGGGAAGAGGATCAAAAGCAGTGGGGGAAGGAAATGCACCAGACTATGGTGATGGCACATGGGTGATTTGGTGATGGGAAGCCCACGGGGATTGCAACTGAGATGGAAAAATGCACAAAATGATGTAAAAATAAACTATTACAGTATTAAAAAAAAAAAATACTAGCCCTAAAACAACCCCTCACTATGGAATGGGGATCATTGGAGAAACACTTGTTTGTGTCATAGCTTGCTATAGGACTTCTTATCAGTCACTTGTTTATGTGTTTTTAAAGTACATTTAAAATTTCCCTTTGAGAATAGTCCTGTTTCACCATTAGGCACTCTTGTAAGATGATTCTCTAGAGTATATTTGACACCTTTACTAATATACTATCAACCCTTTTACTACTCATCTGATAATCCAGCACTATAAATTTTTCCCTCAGTGGACAAAATTATGACTCACCTCCTAAAATGATGCAATCCTTTGTGAATTTTGAAAATTATATTTTTGCTTAATTTCTGTTTTGTAAGTCTGTTTTAAAACAACTTTTTTTAAGATAACTGAACATTAATTTCACCTATTTCAAATGTATAATTTCATGAATTGTTAGTAAACTTACCAAGTTGTGCAATCATCATTGCAATCTAATGTTAGAACTTCCCAACATCTTCAGAGATCCCTTGTGTCCATTTATTCCCAGTCTAACTCCAGTCAACAGCTAGTTCTGTCTCTAGAGTCTTTTCTGTTAGAATCTTAATAGGGAGTGTGGTGTGGCATCCATGTGAGTTGTACCCCCAAAGTACACACAGCGTAGGCCAGCACTACCTGAGATCTGTCTTTTCTGGCCAGTCGATTTAAATGGAATTCTAAGACATGACCTTTTGCAATTGGCTTTCTTCATTTGGTGCGATATAGTTGAGGTTTGTCTACTTTGAGGTATATCTATGCCTACTTTTCACTGTATAGCGTCACACTGGGCCATGTTTTGTGACTCCATTTTCTAGTTGATGAACATTTGAGTTTCTACTTTTTTTTTTTTTTAAAGATTTATTTATTTATTTGTGCATACAGAATTGGGGTACAGGCCAGAGGCTCAGGGGCGGTGAGAGGCTTCACCAGAGACAGAGTGGGGAGCAGAACAGGCCGAATGTCGAAGTACCATGCTGAGGGGAGCAGCGGGCGGGTCAAGAGAGGTCTGCCACACCATGTGGTCACCTCCGGGGCAGGCGGGAATCGAACTCATGTGGAGTGGCTTTAGATTCTCAGTGCTGTGCTTTAACCCGCTGCGCCACCAGGGAGGGCCCTGAGTTTCTACTTTTTGACTTGTCATTAGTATTGCTAAGAATGTTCACACATACATCTTTTTGTGGACTTATGTTTTCATTTTTCTTGGCTCAATACCTGGTAGGGACTGCAGGTTGTTGTGATAAATTTATGTGTAATTGTTTTGAAGGAACAGTCAAGCTGAGAAACTGGCTGTGCCAATCACATCTCTAACAGCAATATGTAAGAATTCTTGTTGCTCCACATAGACAACGTTTGTTCTGTCTTTTTGATTGCAGCTTGTAGGGTGGGTATATGGTTTCTATGTGCCTTTCTCAGGACTAACATACTGAGCATTTTGTCCAATGATGCTTTTGTTTTTCTTGTACAAACTTTGTGAAGTGTCTGTACAAAGCTTTTGTCCATGTTTAATGGAGTTGCCTTTTATCTGTTGGGTAATAAGAGTCTTTAATTATATGTTTTTAGATATAAAACTTTTATCAGATACCTAATTTGCAAGTATTTCCTCCCAGTCTGTTGCCTAATTATTAAAAACGGTATTCTCTTTGAGATTAATAATCTTGGCTATGGTCCTAGATTTGAGCAGGAGTTCATAGTGACACCTTTTGTTCTCTTACCAACTCTGCTTATTTAACAGCCACCGGGACCCAAGTCTATAAAGATATTCACATAAGGAAATGAGCCATACCATAACTTCCCTGAATTTGAGTCTGTACAAAGAGAGGAAAACCAAAAGGCAACGAGAATGGTGTCTTGATGTAGGGCTATTTGTATACCCCCAAATATGTACACTTCTTCTGTATAGAAGATTGTGAATAGTAGCATTTTAGGAAAAGCATAATGGAGTTTCCAACTTTGGGGGGAAAGTAATGAAAAGAAGCAATTTAAAGTAATATGATGATACTTTCCTGGCAAGTATTAGGATTTTAAATTTCTTTCATAGGAAGATACAAACTTTCATAGATTGGACAGGGACCTTTAAGTATTATGAAATTTACATCTGATTTTTAAAAATATGATTTTGGGTCCTCCCTGCAAGCTAGCCACAGCCACTTTGTTGCAAGTTCAATCCCAGTCCCAGCCCCAGAGATGATCCACCTGGTGCAATAGACCTCTCTTGTCTTGCCTGCTGCTTGCTGCTCCCCCTCAGCACTGTACCTCATGGATCTATCTGTTCTGCTCCCTGCTCTGTCTCTGGTGAATCCTCTCACTGCCCCTGTACCTTGGGCCTGTTCTCCAGTTCTGTGTGCATAAATAAATAAATCTTTAAAAATTTTTCATAGACTAGAAATCTACTGTGAGACTTTCCCCAACCTCTCAACAGAAGTGGAGAAACACTATTATGATCAGAGATGAGGGTGAGAAACAAGCTCTGTGTAGCTTATTAAACTAAACCAGTACTTTCTAGAATTTCTTTTTCCTGTCTGTTTTTCATAGGTTTGCTACTGCTTTGTCTAAAAGTGACATAAACAAGCTGTTGTACAGTTTGGTGACTTTGAGTATATTCTCTGTGTAATGTAACCATCTCTACTCTAATTCTAGAACATGTCCATTGGTCTCAAAAGAATCCCATACTTGTTATAATTGGTCCATCCCAAATTCTGCCTTCACCTAGACCAAGCATCTGCTGATCTATTTTCTGTCTCTATAGATTTACCTCTTCTGGACATTTCATGTAAATGTAATCTTATTACATGTGATCTTTTGCATTTGGCTTCATACATTTAGCAGAATGTTTTTAATATGTTGTAGAGGATATTCCATTCCTCTTTATGACCAAACAATATTCCATTGAATGGATGTATCACGTTTTTTATTCATCAGTTAATGGACATTTTGGGTGTTACCAGTTTTTGACTATTATGAATAGTATTGCTGCTGTGAACATCTGTGTATAGATAGGGTTTTGTGTATTACAAGGTTTTGAGTGGGTGAAGATGTCTTCAGTTCTTTTAGGTAGATATCTAGGATTCTGAAAGGTAGATATCTAGGATTCTGAAATTGGAAGGTAATGCTAACTCTATGTTAGCATTTTTTTTTTTTTTGAGAAAACTGCCAAAACTTTTCCACAGTGGCTGCATCATTTAACATTCCTACCAACCGTGTATGAAGTTTCCAATTTTTCCACATTCTAGCCAACATTTTTAGTCTCTCCTTTTTAAAAAATTATACCCAGTCTAGTTTCAAGTGGCATCTCATTGTGGTTTTGATTTGCATTTCCCTAATTAATGATGTTGATATACATGTGCTTATTGATCATTTTTGTATCATCTTTGGAGAAATGTCAATTCAAATTCTTTGTTCAGTTTTAAATTATATTAATTGTCTTTTTATTGTTCACTTCTAAGAATCAATCTTTTGATTTTTGCTGTCTCAGAAATAGTGGATCTTTACTGTTGAACTTGGACCAGCAACACTGCCATCCTTGAAAACTTACTCAAGGCCTAGCTGATAATTTTTAAAGTATGATGATAATTGAGCAAGCAAGGATTCCCATGTCTGATTGGTGGTGCATTTCCTTTATTTTCTATGAAGGGTGTTTATAAGAATATAACTTGATAGAGTATTAATAACTTTGTTACTTGTTTGATTTGAATTAATCTCAGCAAATTAATGATAGGCTGGTAAGTGCTAACTGAGTGTTTAAGCTGAAGCTGGATAACTGCTTTTTAGCTTGTTGCAGAAAACAGTATTCAAGAAATGGAGTTAAGGAAGTTGAATTAGATGCTATTTGAGATTCCAGTTTTAAAACTCTGCTTTTACTGCCTAGAATTAACATGTATCCCAGTGAAATAAGTATTGCATCTTCATTTTCTTGAACAAAGAACTTGAATCAAAAGATAATGAAGATTTATAACCTTGAAAGTAGAACCAAGTATTATTGTACTTCATTCTGTTTTTTAAAAGATTTAAATTGTTTCACCTTGTTGTACTTGACAATTTACTTCAATTCTAAAAAAATATGTTGTTTTCTTCCTACAGACTAGCAAGACATCTACAAAAAGAGGCCCAAGCTCAACACAATAATTCTGAATTCACAGAAGAACAAAAGGTACCCATAAAGTAATCTCTAATTATATTAATATCCAAATGAAGAGTTGTCTTTCAAGTCCAATAAGCAAAAATAACAGCTGTTTTACTTAAGTACAAAGTATGACTATACTTTGCTGAACTTTAAGTGCTCATTTAGAGATGCCTCATAATTTACCAGTTACTGAATTTCTCACTTAATGAATTTCCTTATTCAGTCTTTCAGACTTTTTGTTTAACTTTAGAGTGTTCCATCCACATTCTGGTTGGGGAAGGAGAATTTAGACACTGAACAATTTAGACACAGTCACACTGGAGTGTGACTATAATCAGTACCTGACTCAACTTTCCTAACTCCATTTCCATCTCTTCTTGAAACAAACATGAAAAATCAGAACAAAGCAAAACACACACACACACACACGAAAAGCTGCCACTGGGGGGAAAAAAGTCGATTCAAGTCAAGAATTTAGCTTAAGAATCTGTAAACAAAATGTTTCAGTGGTGCTTTCTCCTTGAATTAAAATTTTAATGTATCAACTTGATGCCCTGTACCATTGGAATAGTTTCTGTTTTTTTCCTGGCTCAAAGTCAAGTTGTAGCCTCCTAGGTAAGAAAAAATTAATGGATCAATCTTTCCCTAATCTTGTCAGAAAAGAAATTGTGGGAAACTATGGTGACTTAATTTGCTTTTGTTAATTTTTCTATGGAGATGGGAATGATATTTTGCTCCCTTAGTTCTTTGGCCTGTGTTCATTTTACTCTTATTTGTAGGCATTTAGAAAGAAAAGAAAAACCCAAAAGTTAGATTAGTTATTTTTCTTACACAAATTAGTACTTAAAATATAGATAGATAAGGTAAGATTAGATAAAATCAGACAAGATTAGATAAGATAGATAGGCAGGCCCTCCCTGATGGCACAGTGGATTAAAGCACCACACTAAGAAGCTAAAGCCACTTCAGCATGAGTTTGATCCCTGCTCAGAGGTGACCCACATGGCGGGGCAGACCTCTTCTGTCTAGTCCGCTGCTCCCCTCAGCATTGTACTTGTCAGTCAGTCATCTGTTCTGGTCCCCACTCTGTCTCTGGTGAATCCTCTCACCGCCCCTGTACCTCTGACCTGTATCCCAGTTCTGTATAAAGAAATAAATCTTTAAAATATATATATATATATCTGATAGGATCAACATTACTGAATGTACTTTTACTGTGTTTAAAAGAAACTAGCGCATTACAATTTATAAGTATATTTCTCTTTTTTCCTTAATAATTGCTAATAACCACAGTAGATTTAGGAAATGTTGGATTTGAGCTCTGAAAAGCAATTTCCACCAAGGAAATGACTGGTTTATTTAGGGAAAATAGCAAGAATATGTTTTATCACCTCTGTAAGATTTCCAAGATTTATCTGGGAATCAATTAGACAGTGATGTGCTAGCTTCACATAATTGAGCTTAAAACACCTAAATTTTGAAACAGTATCTAAGTATGTAGCTAATAGCTAACAAATGTGTGTTCTGAATATGGAAACAAAATGAAAGCTTAGGAAATTTTAAAAAATGTAATGACCTCCCATATTTTAATCACCTGTTCTTGTTGGTGATTTGCATGCTTCTTATCCAGTACCAGTTGCTTAGGAAGTGCACCTTTGAATAGGGCCTCAAGTATAATTTGACAAAAAATATATTAAAATTACTGTTTTAAAAAAATGCCCTCAAGAATTGGGCTTTGTCATTTGATGAATCATTAGATGAATGAGGACTAGTTAGTTTTTTTTCTTGATTGCCTTTAGCTTTCCAAGGCTGAAGATGGTGTTTGATAATGCCATTTATTCTTTAACTTATAGCTGATCCTTAGTATAGTATCCCAGCTGCTCTCTTTTTAGCATATTACAGATTCACAGATTTTTTGTTCCCAAAGGCCCAGAAGCCAGCATGATCTCTAAGGCAAGAGCCTGCGATCTGCAGGCAGTGGACTTGGCCTTAAATCAGCCTTTCTGTCTTTGGACCTTGATTTCCTTATTATGAAATGAGGCTTAGATAGCTGTAGATCTTAAATCTTCTAATGATGTCTTCCTTTGGAGTACACTGTCCTCTCTTCCCCCTTTCCTGGAGGCCTGATTGCTGAGGTCTTTATTATTTATAACACCGTAGGAGGCATTTGTGGCTGCCAGTTGTGACTAGAGAGAGAGCTTGTGCCTGCCTGCCTATGCCTTGGGCTTGGAGAAGGACCCCCAATCAGTTTGTACTCCATCGTCAGTGTAAAGCAAGTTGTATGCATTTACAAATTTTCTGTAAAATTCAGCTGAAATATTCAGCCAAAAACCTCGTATTTGAATGTCACGTTAAAAAAAAAAGACTCCAAGTTCGTAAATGATTAGAAGACAGAGACTTCCCAGATATGACCTGAGAACAGTGGCTTTGATTATCTCAGATGTTATTTGAACAGAGAGAATTTGTGACTTCTTGGGGTTTTTAATATGCCAATGTGTGTGTTTAATACTTTCAGAGTTTGAGCATGAAGTATTTGTTAAATTTGTTTTGCTTTTACAAGTCTAAAATGTCCTTTACAGAAAGTTTCATTGGGTCTAACGAATGTTTTGAAGAAACTTGCTATGGGAGATTTTGATACCAGCTATTAGGTCTGCAAAATTTATTGAGTGTCTGGCACATAAGCCAAAGGAGAAGAAACCTGGTGGTGTTTTTTCAAGAGGAAAATAGAGAATGTTCATGACATTAGTCTTAGCAAAATGGTTCTTTATGTCTTCTATTTTTTTATTGTATTTTTGTGGCAGTCACAAATTTTAAAAATGTGTCAACTATTCAGTAGTCTGTGGAACTTGAAAGTTTTTTTTTAAAACAACCATATTTCTAAGGCATTTTCTTCATGAAGTTTTTTATTGCCTAGCTCACAATAAGCATTAAAAATATATTTAATGAGTAAAAACAAAAATAAGAAAAACAGTAAAATCATATAATGAGTAAATGCTTTGTTAGATCCTAATTTTGAGGTAATTACTTACAACAATTATTTTAAGTTTGAAGAACCCTAAAGCCAAACTACTGCTCTCTCTTAAACCTTGTTTAAATTAAGAAATAGCATAAAAATCTCTGGATTTTCTATTTACACTATTCTCAAAGATTTCTGGTGGAAAATAAGCAAGTTCATAATTCTTATTTGACCCTCCCTCATGATTAGTTGACTTAACTTTTCATTTCAGTTCTCAATAGTTTTGTCATTGTAACAACTGGATTTAGTAGCCAAAGAATAACTGCCAAGAGTTTTCATTCCATCAAATTCCCTATTTTGGTGTAATAGCTTTTCTCATGTAAGTTTCTGGACAGAATAGAACATCCTGTCTCATGATGCTTAGAAAGTTTTTCCGTTTTGAATCAAGTTTGGTGGTAATGAGAATTCCAGCACTTAAATACTTGTTTTGTATTTTATATGTTTCCCCTTCATCTGCTTATCCTCTTTTCCTTCTCCCTCTCTTCTCTTGCCCTAGCTAGAGTTGAACTGGTTGTTTAAATCTAAAAATTAATTCTGGATGTGCTCATACTATTTTATGTGCATTTTTTAAACATTTTTTCCTTATCTAAAATTGAATGTCTTAGCAAAGTTAATATAGCTTTCTAATTGTCCAATTTCATTCCATCATTTCCTTTAACTACACTTTTGCATTGCCAATTTCTCTAGCAATGATAACACAGAATAGCTAATATTCTGGAATTGAGAATATTTTCCATTTCTACACCATATTAAACACAAGCAATTAATGTCAATGAAACGCTAATAGTTGAAACTTTCCTTACAATGAAATTGCACTTGCTTTCAGCTCTAGATTTAATGTACATTAGTTTGTAGTCAGTACTTCTGCTTTGACACAAGCGACCTTGAGTGACTGCATTTTTCTGAAGAATTTGTTTCTAAGAAAGGTGATACAATTACAGTAGCAAACTTGATTTCACATCCAATAAATACCACATGCTTTCAAAGTCACTGCTACAGCTGAAAATGATAGCTTCACTTTTTTTTTTTAATACTGATGCTGGGTGTGGTCCCTTAAAATACTTATGAATAATGCCTATTGGTATCTTGCCATAGTTTAGTAGATTCTGTGTAAAAAGCTGTTGCTTCTCCTTAAAGAAATGTTTAATTTTAAATCATCTTTTTAGTGAATTTATAGCTGTTAGGCCCCATTTTACCTTAAATGTCAATAGTATCAAATCAAGTGGATTTTATAGTAAAGAGGGAAAGAGTTTGCTAGTATTTTTAAGGATTTACTGATAATCTCATTTTAATGGTATTAAAACAAGTGTGTGACTGTTTTAGTGTTATTACTATACAGAAAGTAACTCAACTTTTCTTCACTTCTCAGTCTATAAGATGGTCTAACTCACAGGGTTATAATGTAGATTAAATGAATTGATGTGTATAAATCACCAAGGAGAGTCTCATTTAATAAGTGTTCAATACCTGTTAGCCATTACTACTACTATGTTAATATAGTTATGTTTAAAAATATTCATTTTGTCAGAATTGAGAGGTATATTTGAACAGTAATGATGGAGATACCAGTATTTCTGATTCCAATGAAACAGCTTTTTGAGAGAGTGAATAAATCGCTATGTTTTGAATTCTTGTGCAGTAACCATGTTCAAATATAATCTTTATATATAAGAACTGAAGCAAGCTGAGGATGTGGGGGCAGGGTAGAAGTGGGAGAGGAAAGGAGCCCAGTGGAACATGGCGGAGGGTTGTTGGGGCCCTGGCTGTGGGGTGGATGAGAGTACACATATGTAGAGGTTTGAACCTATAGCCACTGGAGAAGATATGAAGATGCAAATCTACTTTTACCTCAGTAAACATAATGTGGGGGCTAGAATAAGATTAAATACATAAAATCAAAACAAATAAATAAATGGAAGTCTTCAGAATAAAGTTGAGCATTTTCTAAGCTCTTATATTGGGATTTAAAGAAATGCTTTAAGATTGTGAAGAAAACTTAAATATTGCTACTTGTTCTTTGGCCAAGAGTCAGACCAAGGGTTGTTTTGGTAATTCTTATGCCAGCTGTTTATTGTCTTTACTTGATTGCATAGAGCCCACAAGCCTAATGCCAGGTGCTAACCCAGTATTTGTTTTGTTATTCATTAATGTTCCAAAGAAAATTAACAGAAGGGAAAACTACAAAATCTAATTTACTATTCCAAATGTTTCCAAGTCATCATCAATAGATTTAGAAATGCATGTGTTTTGTTTTTCCCTAGAATATTTCTTTGTAAAGACCTTTGCTTTTTTAGTCTGGATTTAATCCTATTAAGATTTAAGACATGCCTTTTGGGAAAGGACTTTATAAAGCTTTGGTTGGTATAATTCAGCTGCCTGCTCATGTAAATGCTTCTTCTGTGGGTCTCCTCATCTTTTCCAGCTCAAGTCATTCATTCGTGTTCTTCATGTCCTTGTTCTGATATCATTGGGCTGCACAGTTGAAATAACCCAGTTGGCCTCACTTATGGTCTTCTCCCCTTTCCCCAAAATATACATTTATTATAACAATCTTATGTTCAAGAAACGTCTGTGTACTTTATTGCTAAAGTAAGACTCCTCAGCTGAAAGTCCCCTTCAGAATGACTCCTACCTGCACTTCATATTTCAACTCCAACTCCCCTATTTCAGTTTGGCACCTTATGCAACTGAACTCTTCAGTTTTAGAACTCCTTCCAGTCAGTGGGGCTTAATTCCTAATATAAGTTCTTGTCCTGTTCTTCAGGACATAGAACAGCTTACTTAGTTGAAGTTTATAGAATCCAGTTTCTCTGCTTTATGTTATTGTGGTTCTCTGTCTTATCATTAATAGAACCTAAGCTTATTAAAGGCAGGTGTAGGCCCACTGCCATTTTTTAGCTCCTATTACATATGTGTATATAGATATTGATATAGATACACACACACATACCTGTCATATTTACTACTGTTTATCACAAGTGTTGATTTTACTAAGTTTGTCAGTTTTAAATTGAACAAGACAAGATTAGACTTAATATCAAAATAAAATCATACCATTGTACTCACCTTCAGGATTTTTATTTTTCATCTTTTAGTGAGTTTCAAATCTTATGGAGAAACAGAAAAGAGAGATAGGAAAGTAGGAAAGGAAAATATTAAAGGCTGCTTGGCCTTTCGTCATAGCTAAAACTGTCAATCAAAGCAAACTTGATGTAAAATTGGTTGAGCCATACTAGGTCAGGAGAGAATATATCCTCACCTTCTCTCCCTTATCCGAACTCTCTGCCTCCCGTTTCTCTAAAGTCTGCAAGATGCAAAAATAAGAGGCAAAATTTAATTTACTTAAAATTTATCTTTAATATCTTATCTATGAATAAAAATTAACTTGATCTTTGACAACCATATGTTATAATATATTTGGTATTTTAGCTTTTTCTTTTTCCTACAGAAAACCATAGGCAAAATTGCAACATGCTTGGAATTACGAAGTGCAGCTCTACAGGTAAATGGGGTTTTTCCCCTTTGAAATATAAGGAAAAGGAATAATTGTGAGCTATTGTAATAATAAAACATTAGGCATTCATGCCTAAAGCAGCATTGTCTCAGAATGGTTTTATAACAATAGGAATGAATGAGTTAAGCTCTAACAAATATTTAGTTCCTATTTTTATGAGCTGTGGAAGTGAAAGATATAAATGTATTTTTTTCTTTATTATTGTTAGCCTGACTCTTCCAAAAACACAAAAATAATTTTATGATTTTCATTTTCTACCTTGAAAGCAAGAACTAAATTAATTTACTTTGACTGCTTTTTGAGTATTTAGTTTTCGCCACTTCAAAGAATAGCATGCAATGAAATCTTTGTAATAATGTATGATGTGTATATTTTGAATTCAGTCCACCCAGTCCCAAGAAGAATTTAAGCTGGAGGACTTGAAGAAACTAGAACCAAGTAAGTTTTAAACCTTTTAGTGCTACTCCTTTCGAAAAATATTTAGTAAAGATTATTTGGCATACATGCTAGTTTTGAGTTATTTCTAATATCTAGTCATAGATTTTCATGTTTTTTATAACTCCTGTAATTATTGTTTGTTTCATCTTCATTGTAAAATATGAATATTTGACTCTAGGTTATGCCTCATCTACATGTTTTAGCCTTTTTTTTTTTTGTTTTAATCTCCAAAATAAGGTTTACTTTGGTCAACATTTATAATAGACTCTGCTGGAAAATATAAAGTTATAGTTATTGATGCCAATTTATATTGCATGCCATCAAAAACTACTGCCCAACCATTTGAATTGTTCTACAAATTATTCCCTTGTTCCCATTTTCCTTTCTCTTCCGGACAATTTTTTTGAAGTAAACAATTCTTTCAAATGTTTTGGTGGTTAGCATGTTGCCAAAGAAAGTTTTTTTCATTGGTTCAAATAAATGTTCTGGAGGAAATGTTTGCAATACAGGCAAAGGCACAAGTATCAAATGTCACCACAGTCAGTTTTAGGACACTGTCATCACCCCAAAAAGAAACCCCGTACCTATTGGCATGATGAACTCTGTGCTCAGGCAAACCTTCTCTAAATGATAAACTGCTTCTCAGCTCCAAATCCTTCTAAGTATGAGCACTAGTAGCCATGGGAGGAAAATCCCTCATAAAGTTTAAGTGGTACCCAGTTTTCAAAGGATGTCAGAATCTCCATTACCCCACAGTTGGTGAAATGGAAACCTGCCCTGCAGCTCCAGAAAGGGAGAAAGGCTCTGCTCCTCGTGCAAGTCTGTCAATGAGAGGGAGGCAGAGGGGACCCTGATTGTCATCACATATCCTCCTCCCATGCTCTGGTTACCTATAGGCAACCTTCTTGCATTGACACTGGTGTCTTGGTATTGTTATGTATGTATTGTAAGGGATATTTAACAACTTAAGTGGTTTTTCTAATATGAAAGATACCCGGCCTGTTCTTTTGTCATCCATTACCCCGTGCTTAGTATGTAGCTTAAGACTCTTGTGGTTCATGGGTGTTCATTGCATTGGATAAATTGCTTACTCACAAGTGGGGAGTCATGCAACAAGTTTAGAAAGGATATTCATTCTTATCCTTTGAAAGTTGTGTTTTTTTAGTGAGACTCTGCACTGCTGGGACCAGCAGCAGGATACAGGGAGACTCATGGAGAATAGACACTGCCATGTAATAACTCAGCTTATACTTGTAGGGCACTTTGAGTCCCCATGCAGTGCCATCGACACTGTTTAGTGCTCGCCACAACCTGTGAAGGACATGCACTCACTTCCACTTTGGAGCTGGGGAGACAGATTCTGATCAGTTACAGGAATGTAACTACTGGTGTGACAGGCACAGCTCTCATATCAAGGCCTCTGGTTTTCATCCTTGGCTGCTTCTTTGCTTATCACACTTCAGCTCCACAGTCCACTTTGTTCCTTAAATAAGCCAAACTGGTTAGTGCCTCAGAGCCTCTGTTAACACCCTTTCAACAATATCTCCTCTCACCCCTGAAAGCCCTTGCCTCAGACCTACTATGCACAGCTCCCCTGATGCCTAACACAGCTCGGGTGACTTCTGAAATGCCTTTCCTACCCATGTGGGCTGCAGTTCTCTCTCCATTCCACGTACACAGCCATCCTGTTTCTGTCCTTCATAACACTGATGAGTCTTACGTCACCTGGTCTCTCTCTTTTTTTTTTTTTTTTTTTTTTTTTTTTCTGAGTAGTATCTAAGGTCCTTATTTAAGATGAAGATCCCTTCAGGTCACCATCCTAACTTTAATATCTAACTCTGGGACTGAACTGTGTGTATACTTGGGCACATTAGTTTAGAGAAAAGAAGAAGAAATAAGAGTGAGAACTGAAGAGAGAGAGAATAAGAACTAAGGAGACTCTAGACCCATATCTCAAACTTGGTATTAGTACATATAGAAGAAGTATGATAAACAAATCCAGCTCCCCTTGGAATAAGTCAGATAATTGCAACCTGTGCACCTGAGAGTTCCTCCTTTGGGATGACAATACGCCACACCAATTTTAGGTCTAAACTCTGAAGTAAAAGGCTGAATAAGGCAAGTACAAATCATAGGTTCCTTTTGGATTATCCACATGTGCCATTACTTCACCTTCATATAATTGCTGGTAGTTTAACTGGGAACCCAGGAGGCCAGAGATGAAATAGTAAATTACTACTTATCATACTTCCCAGTTGGAACCAAAACTATAGAACATCTCTGTAAGTTCACGTGCCAGAATGTAATTACCAAAATGCCAGTCGGCCACCTCTCAGAGGCAGGAGGTAGCACCACTTTGGTTGAAGACAGCTTGTGTGTCTGTGCATGTGGATGAGCCAGCTAGCTCCCGGCCCCAGCATGTGAGAGCTACAGCCTTGCTGCTACAAGCTTTACTAGCTTATGCATTTGAGAGGAAATCTCTTCAGGACAGTGTAAGGAATATTCAAGTAGCACTAACTGATCATCTCTGGCAGCTGTCCTTTATAGACTTTTCAGGAAAGAAGTATTCTCAATCTTTGGTGCCCTGGTCTCAACATAGGACCCTGTACATGTTGGACTAGTTTAGAGTTTGTTTCCCACGACGGCCCAGAGACCCTGACCTAACTATCCTTGGAGATCTGCCAATGTCTGAAATCGCTGGTCCCGAGAGTAACCAGTGAGTCTTTGCTGAGCCCTTCATTGGCCAAATGCATTATGGCTCCAGATGGTGATAGTTTGGAGAATTTTTTAAAGTATATTAACATGCTTAGTACAACTGATTAAAGACATTAATATGCATAATAAAATGGAGTCATTTACAGTAAAATTTTGGATTTTGAATTCATGTGTCTTTATCTTTTCATTCTAGTCTTGAAGAATATTCTTACCTATAATAAAGAATTTCCATTTGATGTTCAGCCTGTCCCCTTAAGGTAAAATAAGCATGCAGCAATATTTGTCCTCTTATATTACCATCTCACTTTATACCTACTTACCACCAATGTGGTAAAACTTACAAATCAGCATGTTTTATATTAACAGCTTACCTGGGCAATTAATAGCTATGAGACTTCAATGGTGCATTTAGTTTTTAGCTCAATGTTTTGCTTTTTGTTCTTTTTTTTTTTTACACATACATACATACATATATAAGAATACATGACCTAAGAGTACATGACTCCTGATAAAACTGCTTTTTTTTTTTGCTTTTTGTTCTTTTTTATGTAGAAGAATTTTAGCACCTGGTGAAGAAGAGAATTTGGAATTTGAAGAAGATGAAGAAGAGGGTGGTGCCGGAGCAGGGTCTCCCGATTCCTTTCCTGCTAGAGTTCCGGGTAGGTATCACTTGTTCAATATATCACTGACCTTGACCTAAAGTCTAGGTGTTTGGAACTTACTTTGGTATTATAGGTGGAAAGTAAAACTTCATCAGAGCCCATGCCAATTGTACGCATATTCTTCTTTTAAGATTTATTTTATTTATGCATACAAGACCTGGGGTAGACCAGAGGTGTATGGGGTGAGAGTGGGAGAGTGAGGGTTCACCAGAGACAGAGTAGGGACCAGACAGGCAGATCCACTGATTACACTGCTAAAGGCAAGACAGGAGAGGTCTGCTGCGCCACGTGGGTCAGCTCCCTGCCTGGGGATCAAACTTGTGCTGCAGTGGATGCTGATAGCTTCACAGTGCTGAGACTTAACCCCTTGCACCACCAGGAAGGCCCTGTAAGCAGATTTTTGTGCTCTCATTATTGGCAGTCACTGTTGATAAGTATAGGCTTAAAGTGTCTAGCTGTCTATGTCAGGTCCTCAGGGTCAGTGATTCACTAGGACACTCAGTGTGGACCTGCACTCACAGAATATAAAGGAATAAAAGTCAAAGGAAAGTTGCATGGGCAAAGTCTGGAGAAGGCCAGATACAAAGTTCCACTGTCCCCTCCCAGGGAGTCACTTAAGTGACAGACTATAGCAACACATGTAAAATGTTCTCTCCTGGAGACTCCGTACTTAGAATATTGGGTTGGGTGGGGGGTGGTTGTTGATCACATAGGTACCCTCTGCCTAACTCTGACCAGAATTCCACTGTCCCAAGAGGAAAGCTGATACTCAGCATAAACCATATCATTTGTACAAAGCTTTGACATTGTGACCATTTCTTCCAGGGTGGTGGGAACCCCTCCATCCCCATGTCCAAGTTCCCAGACACAAGCTAAGGACCACGTGCAAGCACGCCTTTCTAAAATCTGCATGCTCAGGCCTGCTGTGTTTACTGTTTTCTGTACATTGTCATAGTAATTCTTTAAATTAACCAACTTGTGGTAATTGAAAGTGGATCCAGACTAAGTGGATTCATGGCAATGTATCTTGAGATATATTATATATCTCAAGTCTCTTATTCCCAGAAGATTTCAGTGAGGACCTTTCCCCCGTAGGAAATCTTATAGGAAACTCTGAGTAAAGTTCTTGCCTCATCCCAATTACGACACTATTCCTTTCTCTTCTTATAAAGTGCAGGTTTTCATTTCACATAAACTTGTTCACTTTAGGAAGTTAGCGACATGCTGTAATACTGTGTTGCCTTTTTGAATAAACGATAGAAATTTTACTATATAGTTAAATGCAGTTTATAGGTCAGCCTGAGAGTTCCTCAGTAATAAAAGTATAGCAGTATTCTGGCATTTCTAATGGTCCATGTTTAAATTTATAGCAGATGCTTATTAAAGAAAATGTAAGTCATTATACTCATGTACACACAATTTTAATTAATTAGGAATTTAATTTCATGCATCTAGATTCATTGTTATTTAAATAAAATGTCCCCCATGACCATTTCAATCCTTTAAAGTAAGTTTAAAAAATGAGTAAAATTGGGCTCTCCCTGGTGGCGCAGCGGGTTAAAGCACAACACAAAGAAGCTTAAGCTACTTCCTCATAAGTTCGCTCCCCGCCTGCCCCGGAGGAGACCCACATGGCGTGGCAGACCTCTCCTGACCCGCCCGCTGCTCCCCTCAGCAGTGTACTTCGTCGGTCTGCCTGTTCTGCTCCCCGCTGTGTCTCTGGTGAAGCCTCTCACCGTCCCTGAGCCTCTGGCCTGTACTCCAGTTCTGTATGCACAAAATAAAAATAAATCTTTAAAAAAAAAAGAGTAAAATTTGTATGCTTTGAAATTGTTTCTCTTGAAAAATTAAAGAAACTGTTGTCTCTCAACTCTTAACCAGTGAGTAGCTAAAAGAAATTGTATGTATTTTTTCACTACTTTATGACAGTTTCTACCTTGAAATTATTAACTTAGTTAAATTTAGTAATTCAAACAAAAGAACGGTCTCTAGTTTGCAAAGATTCTGTACTGCCAGAACTTAATCCACATTGCAATGTGTAACCTGTAAGTACCAAATATAGTGCGCACTTTGAGCAATATTGTTATGTAAACTGTCTCCAAAAAACAAACATACTTTTCTTGAAATAAAAAAAAAAAAAACATTACTTAGATGTAAAGCATTAGGTATGCTTTTTTTTTTTTTAAGATTTATTTATTAATGATATAGAGGTGGGGTAGAAGCCAGGAGTGCAGGGGCAGTGAGAGGACTCACCAGAGACAGCTTGGGGAGCAGAACAGACAGATCAGTGAAGTACACTGCTGAGGGGAGCAGTGGGCGGGTTAAGAAAGGTCTGCCGCACCATGTGGGTCACCTCCAGGGCGAGGATCGAGCTAGCACCAAAGCGGCCACAAAGCAGCCATGGCCAGCTTCAAAGTGGTACTTGTTAACCTGCTGCACCACCATGGAGGGCCTGAGTATGCATTTTTTAATTATATTTAGCAGTACAAAGAAGCAGTACAAAGTTTGGATGTCAGAATCTGAGTCCCTAATATGAGATAAGTGAGTGTAGTTACAAATATGAAAAATTGAAACAGAAACTAACAGACTATATGAGTTATTTGCCATTGCATAGTCCAATTCGGATACTTGCTTGACCTGTAAGTGTGGATTAAGGAAGTACATCCTCTTTGGTGGTACTCATCTTCTGAAGCACCAGGGCAAAATAAGGACCTAATAAACCATCATACCACCAGTGTCTATAACAGACACCTGTGCTGTGTGATCTCACTGAAATGCTTTCACAGGCCAACTCCATCCTGTGGTTTTGAAGGATGCATCCTACTCACTTCCAAAGGAGGCATCGCTCCTTCCACCTTCCGTTTGAGGAAAAGAGATACTCTGTTGTGAATCAAAGACCATTTTGCCATTTTTCCCTTTGTGACCACAAGGAAAATTCTTCCTTTTGTTGTGATAGCTGACATTTCAAAATAAAAACAGCTGATAAGATGGGGGGGAAATTTCTGTTTGGGAGGACAGGGTCTTTCAGGATTTCACTGACTTCCTGTCACCATTTTCTTGCGTGGACTTCAAACTCGTGGTGCGTGGCCAAGTCTCCGTCTGCTCCTTCATAGTCTCTGTCGGAGTCTTTTGCCCACGCAGTGTTTTGCCCTGATAGGAGCCCTCATGCATCTGCTTTGCTTTGAAGCTGCTTCCCCTGGCCAGAGGCATTGTAGGGAAGGGATGAGGGCCGGGAAGCTGCTCCCTTTCTCTCATTGTCTGCTGCAGGAGACCACGGTGCTGATGGCTGGGCACATGCAGACCCAGCAGGCAGTCTTCGCTTCCTTCCTTTATGGGCAAAAGGCAACAAGTGACAAGCTCAACTGAGAGACCCCCACACTGTTGCTCCTACACCGTTGCTTCTTCAGATGCTGCCATGCTTTTTAAAACATTCTGGAATGAACTGGTCTTTGTTTAATAAATGTAGCCATTTTTGTGAGGTCATTCAGAACTTGTTTTTACTTCATCTGACACTCACTTTTCTGTGAAGAAAGCCATGAGTTTTACCTTTTGTGTAAGAAGAGGCCCAGCTGTTAGTGACACCTCAGTGCCGATGCTAGCAAGTTCTTCTGAGACTGGTGTCGGCTAGACACTAATTCTCCCTTGGCCTTTGCTTATTTGGGGCCTTTGCAACAGAAAACATCTTCCTCATCTTGACCATCATTTATAGAACTTTACAAATTCTCCAACATGACACTTCCTGGCAAAAGCTGTAGACTGAAAAGAGAACTGTTTTTAATAGCTATTACCTCAATCTTGCATGCCCGCATAGTTATAGTCTCACCAACTGTGTCACTTTCTCTTCCTGGGCATTAAGTTCTGCTATGAAATAATCTGAGTTTTTAAATTGAAGTTGACTTTAAAAAGTTTATTTTTAGTGGCTGTAGAATCTCAGAAGCCTCAGTGTCTTATCAGAGGCTGTGATTTGCAGGTAAATGACTTCTTGGTTTTTCTGTGTCCACCACTGTACATATAAATTGTTTTCTGCAGCTGATGCCATTTGAATAGGACAACTTCCATTGCCAGCCAAAGTACAGCATGTTGATAAGTCATTTTTCATTATCAAGATGAACTTTTGCACTAGCACACTGGAAGGACTCTGTCATATAGCTGTTGCCTTGTCAAAGCTGCCTGTAGAACCTAGTGTTAGAATCATCTCCTCACTCATACTTTTCAGAAGCCACAATGAATCTAAAAATTCCCTCAGGTTTCCTTTGACACCAACAGAACATGTTTGCTCCAGGTCATAGTGTGCTTGCCGCAGGTGATGTACCTAGGGGAGGTTGGGCAGGTAAGTCAGAGACTAACGTCATCAGGCTGCCATCCTTCCTGCAGTGTGGCACTCACTGCCACCCACCTCCCCTGAAAACCTGAAAGTGCATTACCCAGATGAACATAGTTCTACAGCCATAGAGGCTGAAAGACCTGTCATAAAGTCACCCTGCTTCTGTCTGTCCCTGTCCCTGCACCAACCAGAGCTCTGCATGAGAAGCCCTGGTTTAAACTGCATTTCAAAGTGTGAGGCAGGCCCTCCCTGGTGGCACAGTGGGTTAAAGCACAGCACTAAGAAGCTAAAGCCACTTCAGCATGAATTCAATGCCTGTCCTGGAGGTGATCCCCATGGCGCCGCAGACCTCTCCTGACCCGCCCACTGCTCCCCTCAGTAGTGTAGCAGTGTACTTCATCAGTCGGCCCGTTCTGCTCCCCACTCTGTCTATGGTGAATCCTTTCACTGCCCCTGCACCTCTGGCCTATACCCCATTCTGTATGCATAAATAATCTTTAAAAAAAAAAGGTGAGGTAGAAAGAACAGCCTGAGAGGTCCACTTCCATCCTCATGACAGAAGGGACTTTATAAATAAGATTATGTGACAGACCTTGAGATGGGAGTTGTCCTTTCGAGACTTTGTGGACAGTGAAATGGCACCTGGGACACAGTGGTTAGGAGCAGGGACTCCAGAGCCAGACTGTGGAAAACAGCTAAGTCACTGGAGAATTGGTAGGTTCTGGTGTTAAATTTCTCAAACTTTAAGATAATATCTAAAAAGCTTTTTCTGTCTTTGTTCTACAATCATGTTGAGATTTGAAGTTTACTATGTACATGAGTCTGTTGGAATCTGTATATGAGTATAGTGCATATTTTGTTAATTATGTGGTGATTTGTAATTGGACTTTCTGGATGAATTGAGTTTTTAACAGAGTTGGTTTGGTAATTTTTACATTTAGGGTCGAAAGTGAGTATGGAAAGGCAGGTATATCTTCAATTTTTCTGAAAAGAATATTGTCAAGTGGGCCTTTCTAATGGCCTACGGGTTAAGTCTCAGCACTCTCCCTGCTGTGGCCCAAGTCCATCCCTGGCCAGGGAGCTGACCCACATGGCACAGCTGACCTCTCCAGTCACACTTGCTGAAATAAGTAGATCCACCTGTTCTGCTCCCCACAATGTCTCTTTTAAGTGCTCTTACTCCCCGCACTTCTAGCCTACCTCCCAGTTCTTCTACACAAATAAAGGGAAAAAAATTTTTTTTTTTCTAAGATTTATTTATTTGTGCATACAGAACGGGGTACAGGCCAGAGGTTCAGGGGTGGGGGCGGTGAGAGGTTTCACCAGACACAAAGTGGGAAACAGAACAGGCAGATCGACGAAGTACACTGCAGAGGGGAGCAGTGGGCGGGTCAGGAGAGGTCTGCCACGCCATGTGGTCACCTCCAGGGCAGGCGGGAGTCGAACTCATGAGGAAGCGGCTTTAGATTCTCAGTGCTGTGCTTTAACCCGCTGCGCCACCAGGGAGGGCCCGGAAAAAAATTTTTTTTAATGAATAACATCAAGGATCTAGGGTTACCAAAATAATAGCTGGCTAGGTAATGCATCAGTTATATTTGGAGCAAACCTAGTCTCATCTGTGTGGTTAAAATCTTTATCCTGGGATGATTGGCAGGGCTCATTTTCATTGCCGTTCCTCTCTCTGTTGCCAGGTACTTTGTTACCAAGGTTGCCATCAGAACCAGGAATGACTTTGCTCACTCTCAGAATTGAGAAAATCGGTCTGAAAGATGCTGGGCAGTGCATCGACCCCTACATCACTGTTAGTGTGAAGGGTGAGTGACTGCGTATTCTCCCTCTGGCACACTTCATAATGTTGCTTCTCATTAGAGGGGTGTTTCAAGCAGGGAGGGGTTCTAATACCTGTGACAACTTAGTTCATTCTCCCCCCTGGCAAATGCCCTGGGGAAAGGCCCTCATTCTGCCATCCAGCATGTCAGAGAGCCTCATTAAAACACTTTCCTACTCACAGCCTATACTTCCCTTTGCTTTTGAGTTTTTCTTTGCATATTTCTTTCCTTAAAATTTCATCAGCGATGCTGATTAGACACCTGCACCATCTTTAACAGCAAAGAAACCCTCCAGAAACAAGTTGGAAACACATCCTTTGCCTTGCGAGGGGTGTGGTCTTCGGTCCCAAGCCCAGTATTCTGTATCCCCTGTGTGCTCCTGCGCAAGGTTGGTGTGAGCACCAGCAGGTACCACGAGCTTCGGCCTGCAATGAGCATCCGTGGAGGGAGACACAGAGATGGCACATAATCGTAAATACCCTACATGCAGGTTGTCCGGGGGCATAGAGAAGAGGGTGTTTCTTGTCTTGGACTGTTGCTATGGTTTATAAACATGACAATTCTTAGGATTTGTTTTCTCCTACTCTCCAATATGACAAACCACTTTTCTTTGAAAACAACTTTTTCAGCTTTTGATAAGAGAGTTGAATTCTTTTGTTGTAGGCAAGCATTTTATACAGCACTTTATTTATAAAGCACTGAACTACCTTCTAATGTAACTATTGGGTGATTGAGGATGAAGTTGTCCTACTATTCAAAAATAACCTGCAACTTGAGTCAAATGAAGTGAATACATATAGACTAAAATTAAATGCATGGAACTTGCCCCAATCATAGAAATCAGTTCAGACCTTGGGTTCACTAGTTTCAAAGAAAAAGAAGTTGGCACACAGAGAAATCTGACTGGAGTGACATGTGACCCGCAGCAGGATGCTGTGCTGTGTCAGTCTCTTGTGTTCTCTGCGGTCAGCTCCACACTCTGCTGGACAGTACTTGATTCACCTTTGTGTGGTAGGCCGTTTGCAAAACCATGATCCTGACTGGAGAACAGACTGGGGAAGCAAAGGTGTGATGCTAGTGGCAGGTTTTTTTACCTCTTGTACACATTTGTACTGAAACATGCTTTTGTGTTAAAATCTTTCAAAATTGAATGATCAAATGTTACAAAATTGTTTTAAATTCCACAAATGGGTCTGTTGAATAATTCATAAACACTGAGTCATCAGATGAGCCTATGTTGAATTTGACTGAACTAGAAGACTCCTGACTCTGGGAAATTACAGCCATTCACCCTCTTAGTGTGCCATCTGTTTGCTGTAAACCAGGATGTGGCATAGCAGAATTTAGGTAATATATATTAAAAGTTGTTTATTTATGGAAGAATTTCATTAGCAGCTATCATGAAAATCCATTGTTTTGGTCCTTGAACTTGAATACGTCAGGGCAATTTTGGCAGTATTAGATTTCAAGACCTCTCTGTGCCATTTGTTTGATCAAGGTCAGAAAATAGGAGCACGGCCCTAGGTGGTATAGTATTCATACTACAGTTTTACACACAGTAGTACAGTTGTGTGGACTATGGACTGTTCCAGAAGGAAGGTTAAAAAGTCCTGGTTGTTTTTCTCAATGTGAAACTTTCTACTCTAAACTCTTAAGGATATCAAGCTTTCTTTTGTGCCAGTGGTGGCCAAGCTACCTCCTCCTACCCTTGAGCTCTCCCCCTCCCTCCCTCTCAGCTCCTCCACATCCTTGCAAAACCAGAGCTCCTCAGGTACGCACTCACACCAAGTGAGAGTTTCAGTGGCCTGAGGATCTCAGCTCTATGCAGAACGTTAGGAAACATCACCTTTGTGGCTCAGTGGCAGGTTTTGAGTCTGTAAGTTTGACTGCTCCTAAGTACAACGTTTCTTCACCTCTCTAGATCTGAATGGCATAGATCTAACTCCTGTGCAAGATACTCCTGTGGCTTCAAGAAAAGAAGATACATATGTGCATTTTAATGTGGACATCGAGCTTCAGAAACATGTTGAAAAGTTAACCAAAGGTCAGAATCACTGTTAGAAGAATATGCAGATGGGACATACTTAAGAAATAATGGTGATGAGACTTCAGAATAAGATATGTCTTCTGAATAAAAATATTTAACTCCCTTGTGTGGAAGGTTCCTGATGTGCAGGGAGGACCGTGCTCCCAGGGCTGGCTGCTTCTGTGCTGGGTGCTTGATGACTTGATTTCATAGGACGCAAAAAGTGGAAATGTATTTAGAAGTTGACCATTTTCACTGTCCTTGAATTTATTCTGTACCATTACTGTTGTTTAAGTGATATTCATGGCAATGAGCATACTTTTTTCATTTTACAAGCATTTAAATTAATCTTCCTACTTCTTATGAATAATGCGGTGTTTACCGAGGATGCTGGAAATGTATCATTCACAGATGAGGCAGAATACTGAGAGACTGAAGTTCCTTAAAAGGATGGTATCATACTTGGACTTTAATATTCAATTCTGATTTTATTTTCACATTTATTTAGACCTCAGCCACACTCTCGGTGAGGAAGAGCTTGGTCTCAGAGGTGAGGAGACTAAGAAATATGATCTGCCATCTTAAAATTTTGTGAGGATTTTTCATAATCAAATGCCTCAACATGGCTGTGAAAGTGACGGAGCAGCTCCCCTTCTGGGGTGGGAGGTCACCAACAACCGAACGATTCTCACTGGTCTGTGTGTGTCAGAGCAGGTGGCCATGCTGCCCCCGGGTGCTACCCACATCTCTCTCCTGAGCAATAGTTCTTTCCTCCCTTCTGTTTTCACTTGTGAGGTGTTCAACTTCCAGATGAATGTGTACAGACTGGCAGGGCTGTTGTACATGTATTTCTGAACATTGTGTAACTTCTAGTGATTTGTGAGTTTTATCATCGTGCAATCATCTCACTTGTTCCCATTGTCTTTAATACCAAACTGAGCCCTGCTTAGAAGAGGGCTCATAAGCAGCTGGCTCACTGTCCTGGCTACATTGATGAGGCAACTTCTCACTCTGTTTGGCTTCTTTCTTCCAGTGGAGAGGCCATGAAGCTTCCCTGTAAGGCTTATCTGAATTATTACCTTTGACTTACAGGGCAGGGAGGAATAACTTGCTCTTCAGACCTTTCTCTCAGTGGTGTGCTGTCTTTACACAAACATGTCATTCCAGGAAAAGCAGAGACCAGTACCTTGGTCACTGAAAGATGTGTGAGTGCACAAGTAACATTTCAAAACTGAACCAGTGGTTGACTTGGGCTATTTGAATGCCAAAACACTACCCAAAATGAATTTTTGAGTTGCTCTTGGAGGGAAAAGGATGGTTTGGGCTTGGGTTTTCTGGTAAACTTCATGTGCCTTTTCTACTTAGTGAGTTTCTGGGGTGATATTAGTACTTATTAACAAGTACACCTCGTGTGAGGTTATGTTATACTCTTCGCAGTTTATGATTCTACCAGCGTAAACATTCTAGAGTCAGCCAGCACACAGTGTTGATGTACTTTGTAGTGACTCCATCAATCAGAGGGAGTGTTGACAAAGGTCCCTTTGTAAAACCATGATTGTTCATGCACTTCCAGGGTCAAAGAGCAGGCACTGACACAAGAAGTGTGCTGTTGGCAGCTAATGTGATATGTCTTCATTCTTCAGGTGCAGCTATTTTCTTTGAATTCAAGCACTACAAGCCGAAGAAGAGGTTTACCAGCACCAAGTGTTTTGCTTTCATGGAGATGGATGAAATCAAACCTGGGCCCATTGTGATAGAACTGTAAGTGCCGCACATCCAAAATCAGTACTAACTGAATGTTGATTCGAGTTTCTTCCTTTCTGGGCCCAGGGAATAGGTTCGTTACCAGTGTGTTTTCTATTGTGGTTACAGGTACAAGAAACCCACTGACTTTAAAAGAAAGAAATTACAATTATTGACCAAGAAACCACTTTATCTTCATCTACATCAAACTTTGCACAAGGAATGACCCTAGCACAGGTAACCTGGAACAGCTATGGCCCGCACTGCCTAGCAGAGACCATCAGAGCTGTGTGCACTCACCCTTCACAGGCAGGAAGCGAGCCCGCCTGTGCCATAGGCTGGAGTGTGTCCACTGCACAGCAGCAGCACAGACTTCCGCGACCAGCACCTCACTGACTTGTCAGCCTCCTCTGGATGCAGGGTTCTCCTACATCCTGAAACATGTTTTCACTTTTCTATTAATTGTGCAATTAATAGTCTCTTCTGACTCACCACTACTCCTGCCCTACATCCTAGAACAATGCAGCTGTGGGTGGGATGTGCTCATCTCCAGACTGAGTTCAGCAATAAGAATGTGCCAGAGTTTACACATCTGTTCACTCCTGCACAATGTGCTCTTCTTGGGTTTCTGAGTTAATGACCAACTTTGGGTTTAAGTGGGTGGGATGGTATGAAACTGCTTTGAGAGGAATTAAGAGAATTATGCAGCCCAGGAGAATCAGTCTGAAAATGCCTAGGCTGTCCTCACAGGTGGCAATTTCATCCTGATCTCAGTTTACCTGCTCAGAAATAGTGTGTGCCTTGGCCAGACTTGTACCCTCAACAGACATGTTCCCAGGTGAGCAGATTTTTTTTGCAAAGTGAACATATTTTTCATCATGGCAATTACTGTCCTTCTACATCATGTTCCTCTTTCTGTAAGTGATCCTAGGAGGCATGGTGAAAGCACCTCAGAATTAAAAATTTGTAGGTGGATTTGTCATGTCTTACTAAATCATGCAATTTGAAAGTAATTTGGGTCAGATGCTAAGGAGATACTGTTGTTTTTCTGACATCTGATCATGAACCCTGAAAACCTGGACAATTAAGAGTGGTAAGGATGCAGAATCTGGGGATATGCTATTTTTGTATCCATAGATAGGGCTTCTGTTTATTTCCTCTTTAGAGATGCTGACATTCTGATGGAAATAAGCAGGTCATTGTCTTGTTAAAATTTGACTATTTACATTACTTTTGAATTTTAAGGAGACAAATATTCCAGACACAAGGTGGGTACTTGACACACAGAACATTGAGATTTGGGGTGAGCTTTCTACGGACTACACATAGGGCCCACATATTTAGTAGTCACTGTTTGAAATGACCAGTGGTAGCAGGAAGGGAAATGCAGTGCCAGTATGTGGCCTAAACGAGTGCATCATCCCTGGCCATACCATTCAGCACATTTGCTTTTAAAAATAACCGCAATTAAGGTGTTATAGCCCTTGCACTTCAAGAGATCAAGCCTCTACTTTCAGCTGCCTGTTAGGTCAGTTCTCTTTACTAAGGTAGATGTTAAAAATTCCATGCACTTCAAAATAGTCTCAACCAAATTTAGTCTAGCCTATCTCGATTAGATTTATTAAGTTTGGCCCACAGCAGATAACAGGGACAAAGAATTTGCCTTAATAAATTGCTTCATTGTTTCCTCAAAGTTTAGACTGTGAGTTGTAAGCCCCCAGACTACTCTCCTGGGGGTAAGAACTACATTTCTCAAGGTCTTGTGATTCTCTGAGCACATTATTCCAGGACTTGTAATTCTCCAAGGTGCTTGGCAGGGCTGTGTACCCTATGGGGCACTCGGTACCTTTTGTGAGACCTTGCTGATGAGACCCTAAAAAAAAAAACCCTTAAAACCTATTATTAAAATGTAGCAAAACTGGTATGTTTTCTCTTTTTTGTGACCATAATACTTGTTTATCAATGTAATTTATGAGGCCTCTCTCATTGACATAACTGGTTTCTAGGAACTGCAAGTGCCTGTCATCAGTAGAGAAGCGTAAATTGGACAGTGTGATTAACTTTACTTTCACAACTGAATGACACAAACAGTTGTCTAGAAACTGTAGACACAGAATATCCTCACTTCCCAGATTGCTGGAATTTACTTTCCAGTGATAAAATCAGCCACTGAACAGTAACCAAAATCAACAAATGAGCTGACTTTAACAACCACCCAGAATCACAACTGGTCAGAAATAACTTTTGAAGAACATGTGATTTGAAGGGTGTTGTGCCTGCACCACCGCTGGCAGCCACCTGCACTGGTGTGGAATTGGTGCCAGTAAGGTGGCTCTGGAGGTGATCACGGCAGGTTTAGAACTGCCCAGATAAACAGAATTTCTCCATCACTGAAGGAGACTTTTTAATGTGAGACATGGAACGAACAAAAAAAGCTATAAAGACTTCAGCTTTTATTCTAAAAATAGATGTACCTTCTCTACTTGATCTTCCTAGATGGTATAATCTATATGTAAATGCTACTTAAAGTAAGAAAATATTTAAATTCACCATTATGTGTCCTGAAGAGATATTCAAAAGCTGTATTTGTGACTTAACCTATGCTATGAAGTATTACTGCATTTTCCTCTTAAATATCTTCCATTCTTGATATACAAAATGAGGTATATTACAAATGGAACTTTCTTTTCCTTAATGCACTCTTAAACATTGCAAATTTTGGAAGTATTGTCTTCTTTCATAGATCTTTATAAATTGACATCTTTTAGCATAAAAGAGAAGTTTCACAATGAAGACTTTGTTCGTCTTTAAAGGGTTCTCCTTAAATAATCACATTTTAAACAGTGACAAGTCATGTTCCGGGCAGGTCTCAATGTTACAGGTTTGTAGGGAATGGGAGTGGACAGTCTAACAATGAAAAAGAATACCAGCTTTTTATAATTTTGATTTAATCTAAGTCATGAAATTCTTAAAATGTGCTCTATAAAGTTACTATAAAATGGTTAGTTCTTAGAAACACTTGAAATGTAGTAACAGAAGGGTGCAATCCCAGTTTCTTAAGATTTAGTGATTTTTATGTTTGGGGTTTGGTTGGTGACCTAGGTCCTACCAGAAGCCTTCAATCCTCAACCAGCCTTTCTCAGGCTCTTATACTCATTTCTCTGGCTTGAAAACCAGTGACAAGGTATAAACAAGGCAGTAACAGTCACCAGAAAGCACATGTAAAAGGGACCCATGGCTTCTCTGAGGTTACCACGGCTCTTGCAGGTGACCTGGCTGCTGAACTGAGCAGCTCGCACCAGGGAGCCTCCTAGCGACATCGGTGTCTTCAGCCCTGGGTGCCCGAGTTCACGTATTTCCAAAATGGTCCAAATCTCACTAGAAAACAATCCAGTGAAGCCACAGAAAATTGGGAAATCACCACCACATTTATGAACTATTACTACAAAGAACTTCCGCAAGAGGGGAGATGATGTTTAGTGATCTTTTAGTAAACATTTTTTAGTGTAACAGTCTTTGCAACCAGGTTTTTTTAAAAAATCAAGCTTATAAACACCGTTGCTTTGTTTTCACTGGTATACACTAAAAATAGGATAGTAAATGGAAATACATGTTCTTATAGCATTTCCACAGGAAATGTTCATATTTTTCATGATACACTAAGTCATTTAGCAGTTACATATGCTACATCAACTAAAACACAGGTATTCTTTATTGCACATTTTAAAGTTTAAGGAGGATCTAGCTTATGAGGTGACTTTTATTTGGGGAGGAAATAATATTTTTTAATTGTTTGGCTCAAAAATGTATACTGGCTGCCAGGGCAGCTTATGTCTAAAAAACTTTTAAAAGAAATTTTTGGACTTTAAAGCCAATGAAATCTTTGACTGTGATGGACAGTACAGTCTGCTTTCTTCTTAGACTAAATTTCCCTCTTCAAAAGCCAATGAACAGTCCTGAGTACTGCTCTGGGAGGCAGGAGGGGGCTGGTCTCTAGAGCCAGAAGGCAAGAAGTCTCTTGCAGCACATGGAGGTGGATAATCCTGGGGCCCTTGGGCTGGACATGGTACTCGGGGACCAGGAATGAAATATTCTCTTGGGCCAAGAGGACCCAAAGGTTTAACAGGTGGGTGTCCTGGTACAAACTCTCGTGAATCGAAAGGCAGCTTTCCTGGTGGAATGCCTGGTCCATATTCCCTTGGGCCTAGAGGTGGACGCAAACCAGGACCTAGAAGAATAAAAATGAAGTTATGAAAATATATAGGAACTTAACTGAAATTAAGATGATTTCAGGTATTTTAAAGGTTTCATTTCACACTATCCTACTCACCAGGACTCCCGATGAGGCAAATGGAAGTACAAGTTTCAGGTGCATGTCATGGCCACACAGGCAAGATTTAATAAGGCTCTACCTGTGTGTTTTCCCACTGTGCAATGCCACTACCTTTACATCAAAAGAACTTGAGCTATACTTGAAAGCACTATATATCATACCAAGACGACAGATTATGAAATACACTGTTGCTTCATAGCAATGAAGAAACTTTGACAAAGGAAATGGTACTACTACTTAAAATCCATGCACTAGCTGAGCATGCCATCAAGATCAAGATACCTGCCGCCCTGGTGGGAAAGGCCTCCCATCTCCAATCCACTGAATTCACAACTCATTAAGGAGCAATTAAATTCTCCCTTGCCTTACACTGCCCATTCATCCCAAGTAGGAGTATGTGCTCACTCTTTACAGTCTACAACCCACTGTCAGTCTCCATTACAATGACTGTGAGCTCTTGGACTCTTAGTTCTACCCATTACAGAGCACGATACAATGTCACAGAAGTTTAATAAAAGTCATATTTCTAGCTTTCCAGACACAACTCCTTTCTTTGTCTACAAGTGGTGCTTACTGCCTGTCTGCAGAGGGAGACACAAAATGCCTGTGAGTGCTAACAAACTTGAGTAAATGTTAAAATGTACTAGGAGTCAGTTTTGACCTTTCACTGCATAGCCCATGCAATTGCAACTGTTAAAATTTTAGCAACAAGGGCCCTCCCTGGTGGCACAGCAGGTTAAAGCACAACACTAAGAAGCAAAGCCACTTCTGCATGAGTTCGATTCCTGCCTGCCCTGGAGGTGGTCCACATGGCACAGCAGACCTCTCCTGACCCGCCCACTGCTCCCCCAGCAGTGTACTTCCTCCATCTGCCTTTTCTGCTCCCCACTCTGTCTCTGATGAAGCCTCTCACCAACCCTGCACCTCTGGCCTGTACCGCAGTTCTGTGTGCACAAATAAATCTTTAAAAAAAAAATTTTCTAGCAACAAGTAGTTACACCATCATACCAAATGGTGGAGGAATTGGTCGTGGTCCAAAAGGCCCACAGAATGCAGGCGGTGGTCCATATCGAATAGGTGGTAGTGGGGAGCTCATGAAGGGTCCCACCCCTGGGAAAGATGGAGGGCCTCTTGCAGCCACATTAACCTGCAAAACAAGCAATTGAAGTTTTGAAACACTTGTTAGGGCAAGCAGTTTGTCCTAACACCACCAATGAAAGCTGAAACATAATGAAGCAGATGCAGGTGCCTGTCCAAAGTGCAGAACCAGTCCTGCAAAACACCTCCACCATCTGTCCCACTGATGCCTAAAGAGGTCACAGGAGGAACAGTTTCATTAGTCAGGTCTCCTTGTATGTTCATAGAAAGGGACAAAGAAGATGGTCAAAGGGTTATTAACAGGTGAAAAAAAAAATCTTATACACATCATAATATATTTGTAAGACAGCCTCAATCCCTCCCCATACCACAACATTCACTATTTCCATACTAAGAATGGAGCAGAGGGAAAAGAAATGAAAAGTCCACTCTCTCTACATATGGCAGTAGCTACTATTCAGAGTACCGTCAGTTCCCTTTCCTGTTATCTAATTCTCAAATCACTAATCTTGAAGTATGATCATCTTGTTTTAATTATGAGAGGGAAGAGAACATTAGATAATTTGCTGAAGGTCACACACAGGTAAGCAGTCATCTAAAATTCAACATCTGTTCTGACCCTAATCCCTGCTCTTCCTCCCTACCTCTGCCTCTTTCTCTTCTATTCTTGAAGTCTACCTCAAACAGCCCTTTAGTCTTATCCTGCCCTGTATAAAAAGTTTTCTCTCCTGGTAAGTGCATTCCTGGAGCCCTGCACTGAGGTTATTTCCCAACAGAGACAATATCTATACATCAGGAGGGCAGACCTAGTTCCAACAGCTACCTTCTCTCATCAGTATTGCTCTTTAAAGCATGAGACACTGACTGACCCTTTCTTAAATGAGACACTAGGTTTGAAATAAATACACATCTTTTATTTCAGCATGGAAGTAAGCACCAGGGGCCCAAGCACTAAGAAAATGTAGTTACGTGAATGTAACTTAACATGACTGCTAGGAACTGGTACAACATATAATTACAGATTTTCATAAGCAGTATTTCACTTCCAACAAACATTCTGTTAGCAATCTGTAATTCTAGATTATGCAAAATAAGATTTTTCTAGGGTACTGCAGAAAATAATCTTAAGTAGCATACATTTAGCAGATACATCATGACAATGAATTATGCAAATGCATAATATATTTCCTTTCCTTAGAGTACTCAATACTGAAAGATACAACATAAATAAAATGTGATGACTGCACATATTTTAGTTATTAAGAGATGTTCTAAACAGGTTAATCACCTAACAGAAACGGGAAAACCAAACAACCAGTCAGACTTCAGTACCCATAAGATAGTGTTGCCATGCAGTTTAAAACAAAGTAGGTGTCATGTTCTTCACATCCTTTCCAGAAATACCCCAAAAAAGCTCCAATCAGCCCTCAGATTCTAAGTACTTACTGCTCCTGGATGCTCAGCCAAGAGTGAAATGCTGGGAATGGAAGGGCCTTCAGACTCTTGGGACACAGTTTGCTTTTTGAAAAATAAATGAGATAGTACAGATACAACAGAACACACAAATAGAAGATGGATGAGGCAGATGTTGCAAAAGATTTAAGCCTTTTCTGAAATACCTAGTCTGGTTCCAAACCATTGCAGTACTTACCTTGCCCTCATCCAGCACCTTATTAGGTGAAGAGCCTCTTGAGTTGCTGTTCATCATGGGAGCTGTGACGGACGCCGGATCTGCCAAAGGCCAGAGAATGGGCTTCAAATTTTTTCTAACATAGATATTCTTTGAACAATAATAAAAATATCCTCTACCCAAGTCTTGCATGCATTTATAAATCTGAACACACAACTGACTGTTACCAAAGGCACAGGGTTTCCCAGATGCCTCAAACACTGAAGATAAGGCAGAGGCTTGACCACTGATCCCTTAAAAAAAAAAGAATCCCTTACATAGATCTTTTTTTCTCCAGGAAAAAAAAAACACAGCTACCAGCATGTCACAACTGTACAGGCAGGTCTATTTGCATGCATCTACATGAAACCTGTCACCCCTCAGCAAGGTCTACACATTATCATTAGAAACAGACATTTCATACTGTACTGGTGAGAAATGAATTATGCTGCAAAATTTTTAAAATCATAAAGCTTTACGGCCAGTTTTTATAATATTTGAGAGAAGAGTACAACACAAATTTAACAAATGAAACAGGCAAAAACTTATGTGTATATTATTTGTAGGCCTTATTTATATATACTAATGCTACTGATAAAAACTACTTTCTATTCTAAAGCAGAACTTACAATAGACTATCCACCAAGATAAATTCAGTAGTATTCTTTTCACATTGAACAGACCCAGTTCAAAAATGTGTACAATGGAATTCTCAAGTAAAAGGGGAAAAAAACTTGTGATAGTTTACTACAAGGCACCATGCGAAAGCTTACCAAATTCACCTGGAGGCACCTCCCGTGGGCCAAGTGTAGCAGACGGTGGTCTAGCAGGCAAGTCAGCTGCCAGTGGAGGGGAGCACTCCCCCCCGCTCACGGGAGAGGGGCCAAAAGAGCCGTTATGGTTGAAAGGACCTGAGGACAAATCAGACTGTTACCACTTTAAGTCAATCTTCCTGTCTTTAGTTAAAGTTTTAGAATTATTTCTTGGGAATCATTAACTATTACACACAGAAATTGAAGACATCTTGCACCAGAGACTAGACTGCTGTCCTTGAAAGTACTCCCTACCTCTTCGAGGTGGGTTCTGCATAATGGGCCTTCCTGGCATAGGTTTTACAATCACAGGTTCCTCTTGCAAAACTGCCATCTTTTGGGTTATTTCCAGTAATCTTGAAGATAGAAAAAAGAAGGAATGTAAATATTACGTCAATTTCTTACTAGATGCCACACAACATGACCCTAAAAACTTAATGCTACACCAAAAGAAAAGGTATCAAAATCACATACTTGTGTCTCAAGTTAGCGGCTTCTCTTTTCTCTTCAGCCATAGCTCTCTCTGCAGCACGAGCTTTGAGCTATAGGCGGAAAAAAAAAAAACTCAATTTTACAGCTGTGGTAGACTATGCACAAAATGAAGCAAAAAAAAAGAAATCTTACCCAGTTATCATGTGCTTTCTTCTCATGAGTAGCTATCTGAAAAACAAAATGCAACAGAAGATGTTTGTGGGAATTCACACTAAGCCTGTATTAGATAACCAAAAAATTCTGCAACCATACAGCAGTGTAACTATTACCTGGTTTTTAAATGAGCGCTCTGTTTTATGTAATTCTTCCTCCATTTCTTCAATTCTCCGCCTGAAAATTAAAATTACTTTTATCAGTTAAAGCACAATAAAAATTTTAATAAATCTTACCATGTTCCCATTGGTCTAATAACTGAATACTTAGATGCCATCCATACATGTGAAAGCAAATTTATATGGTTACAATTCAGATACAATATGACTAAAACTAACACACTATAACTTATTTAATTCCTAGAGATAGGGAATTATATATTTCCTTAACTGCTCTTCAATATGTTCTCTAATAACCCTGCTATAAATAACTTCCTCATAAAGCTTTTTCTTATTTAAGTTTATAAAAAATTTCCCAGAATGATGATGACTGGGTCTATCCAACAGCACAATCATTTAACTACATCATTAAAGCTGCCTTTCACTCCAGCACACAAAACTACATCCAACTAAGTCAGCATAAACCAAGCTCCTTTTTAGCTGTGTCTATATGGGGTGTAAGGAAATTTTTATTGATTTAATTTTCTTTTCCTTTATTAACTTAAAAATCTTTTCTCTTGTGTGAATTAAATGGATTTATATATTTTCTGACCACGTATTTACCCTTTGCTCTTTGTTCTGTTATATAAATATGGTTTTTTTAAAGCGTTTCATCAGCCACCAATGCCCTTTTTTTAGAAGTTGAACTCACTTGTAAGTTTTTACTTCTTCTGCAGCCAAAACTGCCCTTTCATCTGCAGCTGACAATTGTTGCTCTCTCTCTCGGCGTTCATACTCTTCTTGACTCAACTTCCTAGGATAAAATCAGTGTCAATGAAAAGTGTTTCTCTTTTTTTCCATCCGTCTGTCTAAAAGTATCATCCCAAATGTTATTTTGAAGCCTCTCTAAAATGCAAAGACAGTCTTACAGAATTAAAACCTGACCTTTATGGATAAAAACCAATCTCTTGGCAACTCATTGGCATTTTCTAACATCTCATATTTCTCTACTCAATAGTTAACAAAACAAGTGTTAAAAACAACAACAACAACAAAAAAAAAAACCCACTACATTCCCTTTGGGCAAGTTTCCATTGCTTAAGAGACAATGAAAACTCTTGGTGCTTAAGTGTAAAAGGCCAGGACTGGACAGCCTAGCATGACGGAAGCCTATTAGGATAAAGCAGGGGTAATTACTGTTGTTATTTCTACCACAGAAAGACCTGTAATTACTTCTCTTATTTCCAACATGGAAGGACTGATCTCAAGACAAGACTGGTATCATGATAACAGTAGTCAGCCAAAGAAAGAATCCTTTGAATTTATCTTTTAACTATGCAATTAAACACTACATTTCCACAGATCAGATATGAAATGCCTATTACCTATTTCAATAGAATTGTGATTAAGAAAAAATCTTACAATTGGCAATGTCTGTCGACTACAGAAAGACTTAAACTGTCTCAAAAATCAACATATAACCTACCAGAAAAGTCTGTTAAACCCAATAACCTTCAAGCTCAAGATGTCAATCTACTATAGCTACACAGACTTTAAGGTAGCAACATTTAATACTTTAAAAGTGCTGTTTTCTTATACCCCTGTACTTCTTTGTCTAGAGTTGCTTCAAAAGATACTTAATATTCTATCAATGAGAAGCAAAATGAGAAGAGCTATAGTAAAAAGTGTTTAAAACACCAAAGAGAAAAAGATTTATATATTATTTTATAACTGCCCATTAAACTCTTCAGCAAATATTTTATGAGTGGCTATAATAAACTGGTTGCCTAGGAAAATACCAAAGATAAAAACTATGGGCAAAGTACTGCCAGCTTGCACTAACAGAGTCCACAGTTTAAGCTAATAAGAACACAGAAAGAGAACAATCTCTGACTCTGACTTAATTATGAGAAAACAGACTGGAAGAAAGCAGTTTGCTTCTGCTGATGCATGTGTAGCCTAGGAATAATTTGAACACTGGACAAAAATATAAAGAACTTGCCTGAAGGAACTGGAGAGTTAAAAAGGAATTTCATTATTATAAGCCTCACATGTGAAGCTACTTTTCCATATGGTTCATTCACACATTGAAGATAATGAAGAAATATAGGAATTTTAGCCAATTCCTGAGTTGAAAGAAGTTAAATTCAGGGCTACCCCCTTGGGGAAGAACCCCTCCTAAAAGTACCAGGCTTTGGATTGAGACTACAAAGATTTGTGCACTGCACCAATAGGCAGGAAAAATAGCATTATTTTTGAATGATAATTGTATTAATTTATCTTGCTTAACTGGGTTTGATTTACTTAATTGGATTAAAGTGATTAAGGAAAGCTTGGGTTAAAGTAATAGTTACCTGTTAGAAATAAATTCAGTATTTTCTAAAGAAAAATAACCATCATCTTAAACTTTAACCTTCCCTACAATTATCATATACCATGCCTGCCAATCAAAACTGACTCTGTACTCTACAAAACACTGTGATCAAAATCTTAAACAAAAGAAATGGAGACCCACTGGAGATACAGGTACTGGAATTATCACATAGATTTTAAAATAATTGTACTTCATATACCCAAGAAGTGAAAGTCAGGGCTACCACTTTTAGCAGGGGATTAGAAAAACTATAAAACTGAAAGAGTGCCTGGGTTAAAAACTCAATGAGTATGTTTAGTAGCAGATTTGACAATTGAGATTTTCACACCCTGGAAGATAAGGGAGACCAAAAAAAACCAGAATGGCACAAAAACAGCTAAGAATGAGGGAGACTCCTAGGGAAATAACCAATGCTTAACTGAAATGCCAGAATAACATGAAAAAGACCCAGAAATCCATGAAGCTGAAAAAACCTCAAGCAGCATAAATGCAAAAAAGGTAGAGAGGGCGAAGGAAAGGGAAGCAAACACAAAACACCCACAACTAGGCACCTTCCAGTAGATGGGTGGTGCCTAGAAAAGATTAAAGCAGCAAAGGGAAGGGTGAGACATCTGGTAAGTGAAAATAAGAGTGCTACTGGATTCCACAAAGAAACTCTAAAGGCAGAAAATAACTGGTTATCTTTAAAGTGCTTGAAATCAATTAATTAAAAAATCCAGTAGCCAGCAGAAAGAGCCTTTTAAAATGTGTTTTCAAAATGAAGACACTGTGATACAAAGATAAACTGGAAATTTGATTAAAGGATGTTCTTCAAATAGGATGAAAGTGATCTTATTTCAAAGTGGAAAATCAAAGACAGAGATGAGAATGAAGACCTACAGAAACTCAGCATGTGAAGTGAATGAACAAGGGCCGGACTGCAGAGCCTTATACATAAACCACATAGTAGTATAAAATGTTCAGGATAGCATCTGAGTGACAAGGGTGTTCACGCCTGGATGTGGATTAAATCATGTTGCACTCCTTAGGTTAAGTACACAGTCATACAGCAACCTGTAACTACCATGCTTCGAGGGGGGGAAGAATTATTCACACATTAAACTAACCCAAAATATAGAAAAGAGAAAAGGGAATACAGAAAGGCCATCAAATAGAAAGTCAACATCCCGTGCACACATATATCTAAAAATTTATTTAGAAGTTATAAGGGGGAAAAAAAATGTGTTCACCCAGTCTCCTGTTTCCTTAAGCTACTATCTAGAAAAGGTTTTAAGGAACATAAACATCTGAATGGGTAGGAGACTACCAGGCTGAGGTCATGTGAAAAAGGACACTACAGAGGCAGCAGTACATGTAATGAAGAATAGAGAGCGGCAAGCAAGACCTGTGTTCTGCGTGGCCTTGAGGGAGCGTCAGGACTGCAGGAAATGCACCTGGCAGACACTCAGGACATCTGAGGGAAGTGCCCGGGGCGCCTGGCTGGAATCTGGAACTGATCCTTAAGCACCCTTGATAGATCAGAAACCCATGATAACATGGACTGACTTGTGATTCAGAAAGTTCACTCTAGTGGCTGTGGAGAAAATCAGTTTTGAAGGAGGAATATAGGGAAGGGAAACAAAGAGGTGGTTTACTAAAGGCTGGCAAAAAAGATGATACAACAGAACTCTGGAGGTAAAGGCAGTGTGTACTCTGCCACTTTCAGACATGGGGATGAAGCAGATATTGGAGGAATTGAGTGAAGTTGTGTTACACTGACAGAATTGTGAAAAGTAACAGCCATCTGGTAGTCCAAATTGTTAGGATCTAAGAAGTCCTCTTTCAAAAGAAACAAGGAAGAACCATTTCTCTGAAGTGTTCACATACTTAAGATATGGCTTGAACAAAATTTGGAAAATGTAAATGGAGTGCTTGGTGAATAAAGAATTAGAGAAACAGTGGCACAGTTTCAGCAGCAGTGCAAACATTTTAAAAAGATTAAATTTGCCTTAGCCAGACAAGCCTGTTCCTAGTTGCCATGTAAGCGAAAGAGTGAGTACAGGAGCAGACGCAACCAGCCACTGCCACCAACAACCTGTTTTTCAAGAATTCAGATATTTTAGTGAAGAAAAAAACTACAAAAGTCTGACTTTCAAAAGATACTGAACTCCAATTCTGAGATGTCTGGTCTTCAGAGTTCCTAAACATACACATCAAACAAGTGTTTTTATACTCAAAACTCCCAAGTCCCTAAGTCCAAAACTTCAAGTATTCCTTTTGAAGTTCCTATTTTACACAGTACACAAGCCATTCAGGATTTCAAAAGGCCATATATTTACAAACCAGAGCAAGAATGCAAGGTTGAGAATGATCTAACATAACCAAGAAATAAGGTGAGCTAAGTGGTGGAGCTGTGGAAAGGGCACAAAGATTTCCAAGGCACAGCAGTCACTGCTGGAGCCAGTCAACCACACCCCTCGTACACCCCCCCCCCCCCCCCGATAGATGGCAGGCAGCAGCTTCTGAAGAGTGGTCAGAACAGAAAGATCACCCAAGTTATGAGAAGCAATGGTAAAACACTGTAACCACAGCTGGGGAAAAATTGCTAATGCCTTCTAAGAGTCAAAATTACCTGTGACAGCACACATGCTTACTGACACCAACACTGTTAACACTGTTAACAGGACAATCCATCTTACTTTTGCAGTGCCATCTCCTTCTGCTGGTAGAGTTCATTCAGAATCTCCACTTTCTGCCTCAGGGTTTTGCATTCATCCTCCAGTAGAGTTTTAGTAGACAGCAGAGAGCTGCAATCACCTTCCAATTTCTTTATTTCATCTGTAAAGGGTAAACATGAGCTTTGTGAATGTGTACAGGAACCTGAGAACTTGGTGAGGGGGTGGGGAAGGCGGAGAAACATGTAAGCAGAAAACCAGGACTTATCTTTCCAAAGCAATTCTCTATCTTTCCACTATTTGGCAATTTCTTCTCAACAAGCAACCTACCTTCTAGGTTACATTTAGTGGACATCGAGGCTCTTAGTTTACTTTGTAAAAGTTTTAGATCCTCTTCAACTACTGACATAGCAGTTTGTGTCTGAAAGGTGCAGAAGATAAAAGTATTCGTAAGACTGAGACACAGTAAGAAATCACAGCATTTACGACATTCTAGAAAAAGGACTGTACCCGAGAAACATCCATCAGATGCTTGATCTGGGCTTTCACCTTCTCACTCGAGTCCCCTGAAACACAAAAAATGTTCACTGCTTTTCCTTCTTTGCTTTTTAACTATATTCTATTGATATCCCAAAAACAATTATTACATTTGAACATTCAAAGAAAGAAAAAAATAACACAACTGATTAGGACATTTCAATTGTTTTTTTAGATTTATTTATTTATTTATATATACACAACTGGGGTACAGGCCAGAGATAAAGGGGTGGTGAGAGGATTCACCAGAGACAGAGTGGGGAGAACAAGCAGGTTGACAAAATACACTGCTGAGGGGAGCAGCAGGCGGGTCAAGAGAGGTCTGCCACGCCATGTGGGTCACCTTCGGGCCTCGGGATTGAACTCGCACTGAAGTGGTTGCAGTCGTTTGCAGTGCTGTGTCCTAACCTGTTGCGCCACCAGGGAGGGCCCAGGAAACTTCGATTTTTAAGAGATTCAAATAGTAAATTCCAAGTGTGTGCAAGGAAAGCACCACCCATGCCACCCCCGAGGCAGCAAGTGTGCATGTGAGACTTCTCTCAGCTCTGCCTTCCCAGGGTCAAGTGCTTTATTTAGAAAGACTCACTCCTCTGTCTCCCTGAATCTACTGCCAGGCATGTGCAAACAGCCACCATGAAAGCTATAGCCCATGTGGGATACAGTGAATAGAAGATGAACCATGGGCCCTCCCCTGATGGTGCAACGAATTAAAGCACAGCACTGTGAAGCTCACAGTGGCTCACAGTAGTCAAGTCAGTGTGAGTTTGCTCCCTGGTCAGGGAGGTGACCTACATGGCGCAGCAGACCTCTCCTGACCCACCCACTGTTCCCTTGAGCAGTGTACTTCATTCATCTGCCTGTTCTGCTCTCCATTCTGTCTATGGTGAAACCTCTCACCGCCCCTGCACCTCTGGCCTGTACCTCAGTTCTTTATATATAAACAAATCTTTGAAAAAAAAAGATGATGATAAGCCTTATCAGTATACACTGCTGTCCATTAGCTTCTGCTCTCACAGCCTGAGTTCGCTTATGGCTCCCAACATCGCAGTGCTCTGAACTTGGCTGTGGGCCTAAAGACCACACAGCTACACAGATGAGCATTACATTTCAGTGTCATCTCCATAAAGCTGAGAAACACTTTCTCCTGCTGAATACTGTTCAGTAAGACACAACTAATGGTGCTTTAGCTCAGGTGCCCACACCCAGTTTGTGAACCCAGTCAGGGTTCACTGCCTGCCCACTGCTGCATCACAACCCCAGCAAGCCCCTCTGCCCAAGGCACATGATGTCATAAAGAAATTCAGTCAGTTGCCATGTAGCAACAGTACAAGCAAGGGCTAGAAGAACTATAAACTTCAGTTCCTCTGATATCAGTCTTACCTGCCACTTCTCCATTTGCTAATTCAGCTAAGTCATTTTCTCCTGTAGCTTGACCTTCAGGTTCAGATTCACAATCTAACCGATACAACTGTGTAATGCAATTAGTCAAAGCCTAGAAAAAAAGCAAAAGGATATTTAAAAGCCTTTCAACTTAAATTTAGCTGGTTTCATGAGAATTAAACATAAATTCAAGAAAATAAACTTACATTAATATTATCATCTTTGTGAGTCAGAGTTACTTCCCAATCTTTCTGAGATTTCTCAAATGATTTGATTTGCTCACAGAGTTCAGAATGAGATTTACTCCAGTCTTTTACTTCCTGCTGCAACTGAGGATTTAAAACATATACATTTCCAAAGTTAAAACTTTTGCGTTAGTGACATCAGGAGACAGACAAGAAGCCATGCTTCTCTCTGGCCTATTGCCTTGGAAAAGGGACAGGAAGAGTTGCTCTCTCACAAATGCAGTGAGCACAAGTGAACAGACTTAAAAGGATTACAGAGAATTCATACAGAAACAGAAAGACACATCTGACTAACAGATTCCAGATCATGTAATTTTCCTTTGGTTAGTAAAACAGAACCTTCTCAAAGGAACACTATAAATACCTAATTCTTAGTTTAAGAAGTCAATCTAATTTCCAGTAAAGCTGTTTAAATTTGATGTTTGACAAGATGAATACTAAACTCTCTGATAGTCACAAAAAATTACATAAAAACAAAATTCAAAACAAATGGCTTTGATTTTTGGGAGCAAATGAACTCTGCGTATCTAAGAATGGAATACTGATTGCATTCACTTAGAAACAGATCTGAGAAAAGATATTCAAGAAGTTAAAGATGTTCCATCCTCTACTTCATATAATCTATAACATGAACTCTTCCTTACCTGCTCTTTTTTCTTTTTAAGCTTAGCATTTTCTTCTTGAACTCGGTGGCATTCAGATTTCACCTTCTCTTCACTTAGTTTAGCCTCATTAAGAGCAATTTGAACCTAAGAAAACACTCCTTTTAGATAATTAACTATAAAGAATTACACATCATCTAGTTTTTGGGTTCCACATATTTTGCACGTTATCAAGTGTTTGTCCTTTAACCAAACCAAGACACAATATCTTATAAAAATTGTAAACAGCTTACCTCTGACAATTCCGAAGCATTCATTGAAATAATATCCTTTAACATCTCTATAGCTTTCTTGTTTTCCAGGATCTTCCATGTGGAAAGTAACACACAAAAAAAAATGTATTAGGAGTTCAACAAAACCATGGTCTAACAGGATGGCCCCTAGGAAAAGGGGAAGTTCCAGGTTCCCTGCCCTACCCAGGAGGAGGGTTGAGCTGAGCAGGGAATAAAGGAGAGGAGAGAAGAGGAGAAGGAAGCAGGATGGGGAACAAGGAGGAGACCTAAGGAAGCCACATGGAGCAGCAAGCATGTGATGAAGAACCAGGCTTGTTTCCTGACCCTGGACTGGTTAAGGCAGATGTGGGTGAGAGACCTGTAGGGAGGTGACTATGGCAGTGTTTATATTGATTTTGATTTTGCTCTTTTCCTCCCATATTTGTCTGGCCATTTCTGACCCTTTTCCATGGGTCCTGGCCAGAAGGTGCTTTAGTCTTGTGGTAGGCTTTCAGGCCTTGTTTTGGGCCAATCCCTTTTGCGCTGACTTTTGCCCACGAGGGGATGGGTAGCTTCAGGTGTTTGGCTTCAGGTGTTTGATTTAGACATTACACTCTTTGTCTTCTGTATTGTATACTCACTGAATTAAAGGCCCTTTTCATTAAAGTTTTATATGTTTTGTCCTGATGCGGCGGATGGCAGAACCCACTTAGAACAGGCAGATTTGGGGCTTCAGGGGTGCCCCTCTCTCCCTGTCCTGTAACAGATTTGCTGCCCTGTAACAATGAGTCTACATTCCAAAAGGAAGAAACATCTAGAATTATACCCTGTAAGTCAGTAAAAGCAAATATCCTATTTTGGGCCCAAGAGAATGGTAAAAAATGAGAAAAAAAGTAAGTAATATAAGGGATTGAAATTTCACAGCATCAAAAACTATCCTGGTTATGAGATAATGTGGCAGACGATCAAACAAAAAGGTGAAAATAAAGAAAATGAAAACACCTCAAGTAACCAGTTCTAATAATTGTTTTTCCTCCCATGGAGATCACTAAAAAAAAGCTCTTAACAGAATTAAAAAATGGTTAGATCGAGAGAGTACAGACCATTTCCACATACAGAATTCCAAGTAATTTATTAAAGTCCTACCTCCTCAAGGAGGTGGAACACAGCCCCTTGCTCCCTCATACTTTGCAAGTAATATCTCCCTTGCATGCAGTGCAATATGCAAAAGAAGAGGGAAAGACAGTGCAATAGGAAACCTGGGAAATACCACCTCAGCCAGACGATAGACCTAACTCAGTCTACAATATATGGAGAGTCTGTCTGCTATCCCTGCAACTTCCAATTAATTCTAAAATTGCTCTAAAAAGTTAAAAATGCACGCAACATGGAACAAAAAATACTAAGACTGGGTTACGGTTTCTTAAGGGCTCTGTTTCAGAGCAGAGTAAAGCAATTTGAAAAACACCCTGAGGCTAAGGATAAAAGTATTTCCTAGGCTCATAAATATAACAATCTGTGCCATTACTAGCATTTAAAAGTTCCACAAAAAATGGAGAGAAATAAGTTTAACACTATGAGTCCTTATCTTATTCAGGCCAGAATGGGAAAATGCAGAAACAGCAAGTTAGAACACTAAACAGCAAAATTCTCACCACGTCCTTATTCTTTGCATTTTGTTCTCTCTCAGATTCTAACATAATAAGCAGATTTTTAGCTGTATCATCCAGAACTTCTTTACTTTCCTCAAGTCTCTTGATTTTATCCTACAAAAAAAAAAAATTTTAAGGTCAATAATAATCACTCATTTCTTCTGTTTTGAGAATTTAACAAATAACCAACAAAAAAAAAAAAAAAAAAAAAAACCAAGGAACTTCACCTTAAATTTAACTGATTCATCTGACAGAATAGTATTTTGTTTCTTGGTTTCCTGGACATGTATCTTTGATTCCTTGATCTATATTTAAAAAAGCAGTAAGTTAAGAAATACAGTATGTCATATGTATCAGGGAAAAAAAGCAATACTTTATAAGATTGCTCAAATCTGACTGACTTATAGGAAATAATGAAGTAACTATTTTAAAATTAATAACTGATATAAAGGCAGATTCAAGCTGGAACCACTGGGGGTGGACGAGGAAATGAAAAATTATACCTTCTGTTCATAATCTGACAACTTTTGTACAAGTTCTGCATTTTCCTTCATGATATTCTTCACCTTCTCAGCTATCTGCTTTTCAGTGACTAGGGGGCGGGCAGAGAATTCGTATAGTTAGTTTATATGAAACAGCCAACAATCTAGCAACAAACATACTTTACCTGATACTATGAGAAAAAAAGAACATCTCAGCATAACTAAGCCTTTAGAAAATAACCCAAGTTTAATAACATATAAGGTATAAGTGTTTAAATTTAAGAAAAATATAATAACCCTAATTTTACTAAGATTCCAATTAAAATTGATTTCAAAGAAATACAGTAAAATATTTTTGCTCAATATCTTTCCTTCATAAACTACTATCTTTTTAGAAACTGTGATCACTTCAAATATAAGTCATTTGCAAAAAGAAACAATATGAAAGCATACTGACTTATACATCTAATTATTATCATTTATACCACTAGCACAAAGCACTGTAAAAAAATTGACATTATATCCACATACAAAGTCAATCTGTCCAAATTAAATTAATCCTCTTCTCCCTACTCCCATTTAGTGCTCTACCTCGTCTCCCCTCCCAGCTGGAAACATCATCACCAACTACTCTATCATCCACATTAGTCAACTTAGAATTACTAAAACTTCCAGTGTCAGCAAATCTATCAGACATAAGATACAATTGCATCTACTTCTGCCTTACCTAAAATTCATGACAAAACGGCAATATTGAGAGAATAGTACAATTAACAAAATAAGTCTAAATATTTACCTTGATATACTCTACTCTTCACCTAAAAAGAAAAATAATTTAAATTTAATGCCAAAAAATTTTATAAACAGAAACAATTTAGCTCTTAATAATACAGTCAAATTGTAACCAAATCAAATTTAATAATGGTTTGGTTTAGCATAATGATACAAAGCATTAAAAAAAAGTTAATAAAAGACTGCATATTTAATTGGTAGTGATATTTCACAGCTTCTTTATATCTGAAGAAATGCTCCATGTAGCTAAAGGAGTCTTCACAAGTATCCAGGAAAAAGATGACCCTTCAAGTGATTTTACAACCATATATATCAGGAAAAAACATTAACAACGAAATGTCTCCGAAAATTAAGAAATAAAAAAATCCTTAATTTTATTAAGAATGCATACAATTCTTTTAAACACTATTGTGCTCAAATTGAAACTGATAGCTTTTCATCTGCAAAGCTCATTTACAAAGAATAATTTTTCCCAAATTATGTTACATAACTATGAAACAGAATGATATCCAATATAATCATTAAGCATGTAGACAGATATACACATATATAAGCAAAGAACATAGACACACAAGGAAATACTAAAAAATTACTACTCTCCTGGATATAAAAGCATTTTAAAAGTTTGTTCTATTTCCATGCAATTGTTTTTTCTGTATGGATGTTACAAATTTACATACTATACGGTTTAACATTGCTTTAGAGTCTAGGATTCTGCTTTTTTCCCCACATGTGATCAAGTCACCCTTATTAAATTACACAATATTGTTGCAATTTAATAGTTCCCTATTATGTATCATTTAGGATGTGCCATAAGAATTAATATTTTGTGGAATATCCTCATACAAGATTTAAAGCATGATTTTTTTTTAGTAAATTACTAAAGAGGGTATTAGACATTTTTCTTAAATTTCTGACATTACTAAAAGGTTATAGACATTTTTAAGATTTCTGACATTATTTTTCAAAATGGCTGTTAAAGAGTTCCCAATTCTATTAACAGTAATCCTACAAGTTTTGATAAGAGATTTATAAAGTCTTCTAACTGAAATTATGCACCTGTTGTCTTAAGTCTTTACCAAGATCATAAATTATTTTACAAGGCTAGCTTGAATAAGCATTAATTTGTGTTCATGTTAATAAATTATAAAGAAAAAGACCAGTGACTACAAACTAGCGCATGTATTATGAATCAAAGCATGAATTAATTTACTTACCACAAGAACAGATCTCCAGAAGAAAACAGAAAATGAAACAATTCCTAAGAAGACAGTCATAAGTACAGGTTCCCACGGCAGTCCATAAAAGTCAGGGCCAGGCTGAACACCATCAGGCAACTTAGCAACTAACTGAAATAGAAACATGAGGGGAAAAATGGGAAACCTTAAAGAAATCACAGTGACGTCACAAGAGGCATCCACAAAAATTCTACGACCACCACCATCAGGCAACTACTTCAAAAATCTCCAACGGTTTTCACTGTTTCAATAAAGACTTAATACTGATAACCGATATTTCTTGTTTGACTGTGTTTTTAAAAGCTTTAAGCTGAGTATTTCCAGTTTGTGATAGCAACTACTACATCATGTTATTTAACACACATCCAGAAAGCTCTTTTGATTTTTATGACTTTAAAGTCACATGAGACAAAACAAAAAAACAAGGAACATATTGTAGAGATAATCACGTTTATGGCCGCTAGTAAAATCAACTGACAATAAATAATGTGCTATACCTCTAAGATTTTCAATCTCAATTCTACTCTTTCATAGAGACACATGACCTAGACTGGTCTGAGTTTAACTGTAGTCGGTAAAACCCAGTGTCTCAGTTAACCAGCTCCGGGGCAGCGGCGCGAACACCTGGCTACTTCCGCACCATCTCCAAGGCTTCGGTGCTCTCACGGTTCAGGCCAGCTGGAACCCTGCCCCACGGCGCCAGGAGTCAAGGGGATGGGAACAGCTAGGAGTGTGGACCTTGCGGGGTGTTGACACCTATCAAAAAAGCACCACAGTGCCCGGCTCATCCAGCGCTTGATCAAAAGCGAGCAAGGGACTGAAAGCTCTCCCAAAGCTCTCCACATTCCTTACGTCCCCTCCGCAGGTCTGCCGCTCACGTCTCCCTCCCTCGTACTCCCGGGCCCCTCGGCTCAGGATGCGCCCACCCGCATGCGGGACTGGGGAGCCTGGTCACCTTCAGAAGCCTGGTTATCAGGGCTGCGTAGAACATCGAAAACGATCCCACAACCTCCGGGTTTCCCGGAGAAACAGGTACAGAAGTTACGGTAGGTGGAACCGAGTCCATGGCGCCCGAACGGCGGGGGTAAGACGGCGCTTCCCCGCCGAACGGCGCTGGACCCCGCTCTTTCACCTCCTCCTCCTCTCTGCCAAAGAGCCAGCTCAAGAGAAGTACACGAATGGACTTCGCCTCGCCAACTACTGACGCTATTGCCAAGCAGCACAAAACACGTCACAAACGCGGCCGGCGGCGGAAGTGAGCGCACAGACCAGGGGGCGGAGCCAGCGCGTGAAACTAACGCCTGCGGGCGGGGCACGCGGGCGAGATCAACGCCTACGGCGGGGGTGGGTGCCAGGAGGGCGGCAGGAAAGACCA